AGAGTTTAACCAAGCATGTAAGCTTATCAATGACACTTAAAACTTCACAATTAAATCCAATTATCACATATTTGGATGAAGTGCTTATGTAAATATATTTGAATTTTGCAATATGCATCCTACAAAAAAGAGTTTAACCAAGCATGTAAGCTTATCAATGACACTTAAAACTTCACAATTAAATCCAATTATCACATATTTGGATGAAGTGCTTATGTAAATATATTTGAATTTTGCAATATGCATCCAATTAATAATAAATAAATAAATAAGTAAACAAAAAATAAAAAATAATAAAATTTATAAAAAACTTTAGATATATTATTACTATTATTATCATCATCTAGAATTGTCACATGCATCTTAATAAATGTTATTGAAAAGTGAAACAAAAAAAAATTACAAAAACAGATAAAAAATAAAAAAATAGAAAATAGATAAATACCTTTACCAGAGACATGCTAACATGGCATGTCTTGGTAATAGTGTGCAGATTTATTAATATTATACAGCGTTATTAATGGCAATGGTTATTATTTTATTTTTTAAAGCAAAAGAAAATTTAAAAGTTAAAAGAAAGAAAATAGATAAATACCTATTATAAAAGGAAAGACATGGACTATCCAATTTTATTATATATAATATATAGACTGTTGGATTAGCATTACGTTGAAGAAAGTAGTTGTGATCCATAAATGTATGTCAAACGAATTTGCCAATGGTAAATTCTGTTATTATTATAATATATAGATTGTCTCTTAAACTCATCACAAACTGTTCAAAACGTCAAAGGAACCCCATGCCGTTGACATTTTATTTTTCAAAACTTACCAGAGAACTCAAGGCACACAAAGACAGGTAGCGGGACTAGGTTTATCCCTATGCTATCCCTGCCCTACCACCGTATTACACAATAAGCGGCAATAGCCATGATGATGATAAGTAAATATGTACACAAGTTCGTTCGATCTCGACTGGAAAGGATGGAGTTTTACGGCGACAATCAGTGGAGGGATGGTCATTCGCCCAGGATCAAGGTACATCTCCTTCACGTTATATAGAGGACGAAAGGGGAAAGAGATTACAGTTTTTCAAAGTTTTTGTTAATTGAGTTTTATTTTAGAAAACCTAAGAAATAGTGGAGCAAAAGGTACCTCAGAAGCTCTGGGTCGAACACCTCCGCCGTCCACTCGTCCCTCACCACCGACCTTACCTACTTAGAAGATCCACTCCCTGCATCGGGAGCCTCCCCGTCAACACCTCCAGCAGCAAAACCCCAAAACTGTACACGTCTGCCTTCTAAGACAGCTTCTTCGTCTCCCCCTGCTCCGGCGCGCTATACACTCTCCCAATCTCGCCATGGCGTGAACTGGGCTCAAAAGAAGAGCCAACCCGAAATCAGAGATGAAAGCTACGCCGTTCTTGTCGAAGAGGATGCCATGTGCGTCGGTCTGAGAGCGGAACTGAAGGAGCGCGTCCGTGTCATTGGGGAGCAGAGCAGCAGCGGAAGCAGACAACAAGTGTAGGAGAGAGACAGCAGAGAAGAGGAACGCGAAGGCATGAGCCTGCATTTTGGGCAATGGACACCTTGAAGAAGGTGTTCTAATCTGTCCGAAGGCCGGTCGGTGCTTCCCTGTCAACAAGGGAATCCCCAACATGCTCCTTCACGAAGACGAGGTCTGATAGATCCATTGCTTTTGCTTGACAGTGTCGGAACTTATTTTCCCTCTAATAGCTCCATCGACGAAAACTAGGATTTTTGTGGGGTTTAGATTTTGTAAAATGTAAGTTGAGGAATTTCTTTTCTTTCTTTGAATCAATGTCAAACGTAAGTTGGGGTTTAGATTTTGTCATCGTCCCCACCAGTTCACTTTTCTCTGATGCTGATAATCTAGGGTTCATAATCCGGTAACGAACCTTAAATAGTACGGTTTTATCTATTTGTTTGAAGAAGATGAAAAATTCAAGTCTGCGGGTTTTGCAATTTACATGCTCTTCTCATTGGCATTTGCAAAAGAGAAGAGTGGAGTTGTCTTGCCACAAGTAGGGTTGGATAAATATCTGAAGTATGAACCATCCATATTCTTCTCCATTAAAGAGCATCATTGGATCTTGGAAACATAGGTGCACAGCTCTTTAAAATCTTGGGAGCAAGTTATTACTACACTCCTAAGGCCTGCCAAAAGTATGAATGGATGCCAAAACAAGGACTTAATAGAGTTCAACGTACCATACTGGGAAGATATACTTGGTAAAGAAAATGAGGTGGCCGGCTGTTGGGGTGCTTTACGCAAAAATTGTTGAATATCATTCTTTCACACATTAAAACTTCATCATTATGGATAAAAAAAACTCTGTTAAAGAATATATAAACTACTACTGAAACTGTTCTCATCACCTGAACTAGAGTTCGTTTTGGCCTTGTCATCGTGTTTTTACAGCCTACGTACGGTGCAAAATGAACAAGGTGAAATGCTTTATATTCCTCCAAAATGGTGGCCTTATGTGAAATCTCTGACAAGTTTCTTCCTTAGCTTTTGGTGGAGCGATGGCTGTAACTCTCCAGGCTTCTGATTGTTTAATCTATCTCATTTTCGTTTTTGTTCATACTTGTGTTGTAGCAACACAGAGCTGTCCTCAATTGAATGAATAGTGCTGCTCTTTTTGTTGGGGGACCCTATTATGTTGATGTCGCCATTTGTCCTGTATATATCCTTCAATTGAACTTAGCGGCGTTTTGATCACGCTGAATCTGCCTCCTATCTCTCACAAAGTTGCTTTTCAGAGGTAATAGATTTTTTTTTTTTTTATTAAGAAGCAAAATCTACAAAAAAAAAAACAAAATACAGCAGTTCAGAGGTAATAGATGTTTATCCTTGATATTTTTAATAATGACAAGTTATACCCTCATTTCCCGATAGAAGCCTATTCGATCTATTGCCATCGAACGAGAAGGGAGATGGCGATGGAGAACTTGAAGAAAACATACGATGGAAATCTCACTGGAAAGAAAATCTCTCTCTCTCTCTGAGAACTCAAAGAAACCCTTCCGGTAGCTTCAATGTCGACCTCTGCTAAGCCATGGTTCAAATCCCATTCTTCAGTCTATCTCCCTTGTCTTCACGCCATCATCGCTGCAACTCTCGGCAGCGGCGATTAACACCCTCCCCCCCTCTCTCTCTCTCTCCCTCTCCACTCTTGACCACTGTCATCTCCGTCCCATTTGATTCCTTTGTAACTAATGTAAATCAAAATATGTAAATTTAATCATTAATTATTACATATTTTAAAAGTTTTTAAGATATTAATTTTTTAATTATTAAATATTTTTAATTGTTTCATAGACTTTATTACTATTATTATTATTATTTTAATTCTTAATAATTTGTTTTTTATTTATAAATCTATACATACTTTCCAATTTTATTCTTATTTTAATAAATTATTTGTTATTTTTTATAAATTTTATTTGTATTAATTATTAAATATTTTAATAGTTTTAAGATATTAATTTGCTAATTATTAAATATTTTCTCATTGCTTCATGGACTTTATTACTATTTTCATTATTATTTTAGCTTTGCTTTCAATTATTTATTTTTAATTTATAAGTTTGTATGTGTTTTTCAATTTTATTCTTATTTTAATAACTTAATTTTTATTTTTATAATTTATTCTTATTTTTAATATTATTTTTGAATTTAATAATTTATTTTTTATGAAACAGTGCAAATTGAACTTCAAATTATCAAATAGTTTGTTTTAGGGATAAAATAGGGAATTTCAGATCCTAAAGGTTCAATCCAACACAAACAAGCTTATTTATTGAGAGCCTATACAAAATAGAAAAGCATTATATCTCTTTTTAGATTTGAAAGACTTTTAATATCTTTTTAAATTTTTTAGATTTTAGATTTCAGATTTATCAAACTCCACCTTAATTTGCCTTGATGAGAAGGGAGTTTTCTTTGGCAAGTGTATTCATTCATTATTTATTTATTTCGTTATTTATTTGCTTTTATTTTTTATTCTAGAGACCCAGAGACTTGCTTTTTGTTCTTTCTAATGATTAAGTTGGAACATAGGCATCAGTGAGAATGTATTTTACTATTAAAAAGAAAAACAAAGGATTAAATCTTGATTTCTTTTTAAAATTTCAATATTTTTATATTAATGAGGACGAGTTATTTTTCAGTTCATATATGTTGGCTTCAATAAATTTTATTTTTCACTATTGAATATGCTATTCATGATTTATTATACATGCCCCATCATTTACATTCGCGAGTGTGTTAAATAAGGGCGAGTTTGGATCAAATTGTAGGATCCAAATCAATTACAACTTATACATCAAATTACAAGGATGCTCTACCGCTTGTTTATCTTCATGCCTGTGTTTAGTACGGGCCCACATTTTTTCTTTGAAAAAATATATTTACAAATTTACATTTTTTCATAAAAATAAATATGTCCCACACTTAGATTAATTATAGACAGACATCATACCAATTAATAGTCTTCTGCCCGTGCTTAATATGGGCCCCCTTCCTCTAGGAATACGAAAACGGATTAACGAACTTGGTTGGTAAAATAAAAAAAATAATGTGGTTGTATCATTTCTCCCATCTCCTTGTCGATATGTTTTTTTGGTATAATATCTCCTTATCGATAAGAAGGGAATAACCAAAACGGATTAACGAGCTTGTTAAAATAAAAAATAAAATGTGGTTGTATCGTTTCTCCTCACAAGACTAGACTCTGTATGTCATGGATCTTCTTTGATCACTCCGGTCTCCCGTGCTAGTGTGCTACGTCCCCATCCGTTGTTCTATCAAACGTTTAGCTTACTGGATTGTCCGTCACAATTGAGTGCAGATGACGTGGCGAATGATGAATTCGCCATTCACGTTTTGCGAGGTCATATAGTTTGCCACGTGTAATCGAAATACGAAAGTTAAAAAGAAGAGTTTGTCTCAATTTTTAAACCTCGACCGTGTGTGTAACCACTGACCACTGACCACTGACCCCCCCGCCCCCCGCTTATAAATCTCCATTGTTCGGGTGCGTGCGCGCCATGAAACTAATGCTCTCGTCTCTGTAAAAGGGCCCGGCATCATCTTCTCACCCTTCGTCAATGCTAACAAAGAACAGAAAAATTGTAAGTTCTACTTGTTGAATGGATTTCTTATTATCAGCGAACTCAGCACACTTTATCATTATTATGCCGTCATTTTTAGGTTCTTTTTKTTTTSWTTTTTTTTTTTTTTTTTTTTTTTTKCTKCTTTCTTTTAACSTRAAGCAGTAGRTTAGGATACATCRTCTMRTAATCTGTATTSMTTCTCTTTTGAGTTCCAAAGTTGGTATTATAGAGGAAAACGTGGAAGAGAAAAACAAAAGAAAAGAAGGGGTTTCGACAACTCTCTGTTGCAGTGGAACTGGAAAAAAACCCTAATATAAGATGGGAGACCAGAAGAGGAAACGAGGTCGAAAGCCCAAGAAACCAGCTGCTGAAACTATGGACCTCCAAATGAACAATATCGGAGTCACTTCATCGGCTAACATCGATGATGTTTTTTCCGTCAGCAATGTTGAAATCGAAGAGGTCGATCCTCCCACGTCCCGCAAGGGACGGGGTCGACCTCGCAAGGCTGCAAAGCATGCCGAGAAAGCTGATACGAGTGTCGTCGCTTCTCCAGTGAGAAAGACTTCTCGGACGGTCGAGAATAATGGAGAGTGTGTCATTGCTGTCTCTGTCGCTGGAGATCTTGCAAGACATAGTTCGGTTATTGAGCCACCACCCCGATGGGAAAATGTAGTCAAGGTCGTCCCTTCCATGGATGCGGTTGTTAAGGTGTTTTGTGTTCACACGGAGCCCAATTTCTCACTCCCATGGCAGCGGAAGAGGCAGTACAGTTCTAGTAGTAGTGGCTTCATTATTAGTGGGCGGAGGGTATTGACGAATGCGCATTCTGTGGAGCATCACACCCAGGTGAAGCTCAAGAAACGGGGGTCTGACACCAAGTATTTGGCGACAGTGTTAGCCATTGGGACCGAGTGTGATATTGGTAATCATGATCTCTTCCTTTCCACTTTTGCACGTTATTTTGCTAATTGGGTTTTGTAGAACTTTGCATGCACTATGTCTTGATTGAAGTTGCAATACTGAAGTGCTTGTGCAAAAATACAATCATCTTTTAATTGCTGAATGACTATTGTAAACGTTTCTGATGAACTTCGTGATCTACCTTCTCTATCTTATTTTTACCCTCGACCCAGAAATCAAAATGGAAACAATGCTTCTCATGAACTTGAGGTGTTCTTTTTCTTACCAATTTGAATACTTGTTGTAAATAAAATGTTTCAATTGTGTAAGAAGGCTCAAGTTATTAATTCATTTTTTATTCTGTGATGCTACAGCAATGCTGACAGTTAACGATGATGAGTTTTGGGAGGGAGTTTCACCGGTGGAATTTGGTTCTTTGCCTGCGCTACAAGATGCTGTAACTGTTGTGGGCTACCCAATTGGGGGAGACACGATTTCTGTGACAAGCGGTGTTGTATCACGCATGGAGATCCTGTCATATGTTCATGGATCAACCGAGCTTCTGGGTTTACAGGTTATGGAGTTGGCCTTCTAATTTCTTGTTCTAACTTATATTTTATCTGCCTATTGACAGGTTTGCCAAATACCTTATTTGTGAGATTTTGCAGATAGATGCAGCTATTAACTCTGGAAATTCTGGTGGACCTGCCTTGAATGACAAGGGGAAATGTGTAGGAATTGCATTTCAGTCCCTTAAACACGAGGATGTGGAGAATATAGGCTATGTCATACCAACGCCTGTCATTATGCATTTTATTACAGACTATGAAAGAAACAAGGAGTATACAGGTGTTTTTAATGCGTTTCTTTGTTATTTTTCTTTCTGATTTATGCATTATTATACCTCGAGATTATGTATCTCTATTTCTTGACATTCCTTACAATCTTAAAGTAACAATGCAATTAATATACTGTTTCTGGTAGATGACTTGAAACTCACATTATTTTGGTGTTCCCCTCTAAAATGGGAGGGCATGTTCTACATGCCAGGGTTTCCTACTCTTGGTGTTGAGTGGCAAAAGATGGAAAACCCTGATTTGCGCATGGCAATGGGGATGGCATCTGACCAAAAGGGCGTCCGTATTAGAAGAATTGAACCGACCGCTCCAGAATCTCAAGTTCTGAAGCCGTCTGATATTATTCTCAGCTTTGATGGAATTGATATTGCTAATGATGGAACAGGTGACCATATTTCTTATTTTTGTAAGATTTATTTGTCTTTGATTTCATGAATTGCTACATTTTTTATTGTTGTTAATTTTATGTTGATTTTCAATTCACTATTTTTTTGTAGGATACACCTCATGCTTAAGTTGGCCTAATATTATCCAGCTAGTGTTTTACTTCCTGCCAATGATTAGAACTAAATAATCTGTTCCTGCACTGCTATATCRTGGATATATGGTTGTGCTTTTTTGAATAAATGGTGTAGACCTGATTTTGGAAATTTATCTCTTTAACATAATAGATATAGAACGTTGAGAACATATAGACATTTTATCATGCTTCTTTCATGAGCTATGTTTTTTATTTTTATTTTTTTCTTTTGTAATGAATACTGTCTGGGAATTCTGCAAGAATGGTATTACTAGCCACTTTACCATTGCATCAATAAGGATCAGATCCTTTTCTAAATAAGTATTCCAAAATCCAGCATGAATTCTACTATAATAAAAGTTGTCTAGTAACTTTGATGGAATAGTATTACAATATTACTAGCCACTTTACAATGGCATCAAGATGGACCAAGTCCTATTATACAATCCTAATGATGAAATACCAAAGAATTGCTGATGGATCATGACTTTACATTTTTATGTAAGTTGTAATGTTCTAATTTTACTATTTTAGTGTTACTTGAAGCAAGGCATTTGATTAACAAGGTTTAGGCCAATCTTCATTATGTTTCAAATAAATGTGCCACTGTGACAGTTATATCCCATTGAATGACACATTCCTCCTATATTGTCGCAGTAATGGCAATATTTATTGATGCATTGCTTTGTTTTCAATGGATTATTCTGATTTTATAGTTACAGAACTCTTGGAAATTGGAGAAGCTTGGGTTTTTAAAGCTTTTTTTATGTTATAGCTTATTGTAGAATATTTCTAAATATAAGTTAAATGTTAAATAATGAAAAAAATCTAAAATTGGTCTTTTTTAATATATTGGATCTTATATCAGTGTTTACATATTGATATATATATATATTTTTCTTTTTTTTTTTTCTATTAATGATGCCTAATATATCTCTACAAAATAGTACTTATCATTTTTTGATTGTTGACATGATTGAAGAGATTTAATTGCTGAAAATTAAAGAAAGAAAGGCTCATATGTTTTGGACAGAAATACAATATCAACTAGCCCAGGTCCCCCCTTTCTTTTGAACGAGCTATTCATTTTGGATGGCCATGATTTAGTTTCTCTGATGTGGAACGATGGATTGCCCCTGGACCCTATGAAAGTGACAAATTCCAGCCTACTACCATCTGTGGATCTCCTTCCACTGTAAATCTATCTAAACCAATAGAGAGCCTGGGATCTAAGCTTTGAAAAAAAAGAAAGAAGGGAAGAAAGGAAAAAAAATCTCTCTTTTTGCAGAATCTCCTTCTCAAGTAAGGCTGGAGTAGAGCAATATTGTCATTCCCTGTGACTCTCAAAATCCCTCTAGGCTCCAATTGTTGTGGGTCCTGGTTTTCCCGTGTAGCAACAAGTTAAGTTTAGTTTAATCCTACAGTATGATGTTGGGTCTGATTCTTGTAGAATTAGTTGTCATTTTGGTGCAAGGCATACTAGCAATTACCTATCTCTAATGATAGAGTCTACATATATTCTTCTAATCTGATAAAGTGTTTACTAATTGGAACCCAGTAACCACTCTGATTATGATCAAGCCTGAGTATAGCTGCTTAATGCTTCTTGTTATTGAATAGCAAATTCCCAAGTACCTCAGTTTGCATGCATTTGACAAAACGCTCTCTTTCTTAGTGCCTGATATGAGGGAAGAAGTGAAAAATAGGTTCAGAATATCTCTTAGGGGATATTGATAAAAAATATCTCCTAGGGGATTCCACTAAGAATCACACATTTGAAGGAAATTGTTTCATATTTATGTTATTAAGAACAGACAAGGAATGCATGGTTGGTGTTGTCATCATAACATTTTTTTTGCACAAAAAAAAAAAACACATAAAGTTACAACATCGAAGTTTTCTGTCTATGCAAGAGCATTTTGCTGGTACTGATACTTTTTTTTGAGGGTTGGAGATTAAATTCATTAATAAAGTAAAGCCTCAATGTAGTTCTTTCTCAACAAAAAGCCTCAATAGGGTTAGGGCCACCCTAAGGGTTTTAGCTAGAAAAGTTCAGGGGGGGGGTAAGTATTTCGGATTCAAGTTAATCCCTAGAATGTCTAATGCTCTTGCCAATACCCCAGCAAGACAAGGGGCAAGAAGACATGATTCGATTTGGGGCCTCCAAGTTTGGCTGTTCTTTCAACATCTGCTGTTTGTATTGTGCTCTGTTCTCTGCTGTTTTTGCTTACAACAGTGCTTTCTTATTATCATTAATAAAATCTCTTTATTTGTGTTAGTGATAAAAAGAATCTTAAAGAAAGAAGAGCAAGTTAAGTGGCATTTGAGACAAGATGACTAAACACCGTTGTTTTGCCAGAGCTTTGAAGGAAAACATCTTTTAGAGAGTTGATAAGATTCATCACCCACACACTYTCACGAGCAGAAAGGCCTCTTGTAAAGGCTAATTCCCATTAGATTCTGGATGTGGAGACAGAAGCTAGGTTTCTCTTACAGCCTCTGCTTTTGCTAAGGTATCAGCCAAGACATTTGCAGTCTTAGGCACACATTTGAGTGAGCTATTCAAACTGCTGCCTAGAGTTTGTGCCTGTCTCACTAAGGGCCTAAAAATCTATGGGATTTTCCTATTTACCCTCATTCAAGCTATTGCTGTTTCAACTAGTCAATGCTTTGATGGCAGTGGTTATGTGAATTTACACCAAACTCTCCTCTGCTGCTTCTATTTCTTGAGTTAATAACTTTGCTTACCCATAGTATACCCCTCCAAGATCTATCTTACTCCCTCGCCTCTGAGTGGGCAACTCAAATCTTTCAATGGAGCAGGATGTTCACCAGTGTTACATGGATACGGACATGGGAAACAGGAATCAATGCATGTTTGGAGTCTGACTTGGCAAGATGAAGTGACAAGGATTCATGGATATGTCTATAGAAAAAGTATAAAATTATTGATGGTCCATATTTTGTTGAATTATAACATTATAAACCTATAGAAAATATCTAAAAGGTTAGCCCCTTACAACATTTTATTTGAAAAATGACATTCATTGTGTACATTATTTCTTCATTTATATTGAATAAGCAAGGAGAAAAAAGAGAATGTCACATCAAAATACCAATAAAAATGTCACATAGAGGTTTCCAAGAATCCATAGCATATTGGAGTTGGTCATGGACACTTCATYCATTTAGAAAAGTCCATGCAACAATGATGGTCACTCTGAAGTTAGACTTTCTGATATGATGATTAAAAATTGAAGGATGCTAAAGGCAATCTTTAAGCATACCAAAACCAACCCCTGAATCATCATTCATCTCCACCTGCTTAAGACCAATAGACACCATCAGCCAGGATCTTGAAGATATTTGTCTCTGCCCAATATGTGTACTTCAATGCTTACACCACCCCAGAAGGCCTTAGGTTCCCCAAAGAGCACCCATAAAAATTAAGTTTCAGTGCTCCTTCCAGGGGGAATCTAGCAGTTGAGGGACTGGGTAAGGGAGATTTCAAAATAAGAGCCATTGACTTCCCCAAGTTATACTTGATAGAGTAATTTTTGTTGTGATAAAAAAGAGATGACCTTAATACTTTTTTTGGTGTATGACCTTAGTACTTCAAACATTGTTAATGTGTTGCTAACTATTCATAGGTAACTCATTTTCTTTCGTGGTGATTTTTCAGTTCCATTCAGGCATGGAGAGCGTATTGGATTTAGTTACCTGGTTTCTCAAAAATATACTGGAGAGAATGCTGTAGTTAAAGTTCTCCGTGATTCGGAGATTCTTGAGTTTAATATAAAGCTTGCGACTCACAAACGTCTCATTCCAGCACACATCAAAGGCAGACCTCCATCATATTACATTATTGCTGGATTTGTGTTCACGACTGTATCTGTTCTTTATCTCCGTTCTGAGGTCTGATTCTGGACTGTTGTTGATTGTATTATTTTGGATTCTCTATTGCAGTAAAGAATGCTTGAATACATGCCATTGGCTGCTGTGCAATATGTAACCATATGTTTCTTGTTTTTGAAGAACTTTCAGTCAGACCCGAAGGCCCTGAAGAAATTAAATTGTCAGAAACCTGATAATAAATTGGTTGTTTTTTTTTATCAGCACAAGTTTAACTCTTATCTATTTCTTTTGATTCTCTTTGTGAAAGTAATGGAAGGTCTATGCATTGAATTATGGGAACATGGACTTTTCACTGTAGAATTCCTATATGAATGTGAAGACATTCTCTGCAGCTGCAGACTGCAGGTCTCATAGGTGAATGTGAAGAACTTTTTCAGTAGAATCCAGAATTCCCTAGAGTAGGTCTCATAGGTGAATGGGGGGGCCTGAGACCAGGGTTGCTTTTTTTGTTCTTTCCTTTTATTTCTCTGTACCTTTTATCCTGATCTTAATAAACACTCATTGATCAGTGTTACAGTAAATAAAAAAGGCAATGAAACTCTCTTAAATAGATTTTCTTTTCTTTTATTTTATGCATATGAATATGCCAAGAGAAGGAAAGATGGGGGGAAAAAAGTTTAGAAGCATAGGGCCCAAGTAGGGGATCACCAGATGCGATTTCTGATTAAAAAGTAAAAATCAAGTATGATTAATCTTCTTGATGTCATTTCTGAATATCCAGGGTGTGCTGTCATGTTGTTTTAGCCAACTGATGATAACTTTGGAATCCCCTTCCACAACCAGCCTTTCCACCCCCATCTCCTTAGCTTTTTGTATTCCATATACCATTGCCTTCAGTTCAGCTGTGGTGGAATTTCCAATTCCAATGGGAGGACCCAAATACAGTCCCCAACGCATTTCCTCTTTCATTTCTTATAACCCCTACAATTCCAGATCTTCCTGGGTTTAATTTTTTTTCTCTTCTCTGATGGGGTTTTCACAATTGATATACTACTAGCATAGTTTTCAAGGCGCCAAGGTGAGGCTAGGCGACAGGGGGGGGGGAGGGCGCCTTGTTGCCTAGTCGCCTAGGCGATGGATTTTTTTATGTAGAAAACATAGATCCTAGGGTAGTTACCTAGGTACCATTACCATATTTCCTTAATAATTATTCATAATTTTCCTAGGAAAAGTATAGAGTTTATGTTGGAAGTATAGAAAATCAACATATTCATGAGAAGAAAAAGAAGGAAAAGAAAATTCAAAAAATATAGGGGCTGAACCCTTACTTTTGTTATAGGAAAAGAAGAAAAGAAATAGTAGCAATGTTTGTATTGATTAAACCCTAACAAATAAGAAAATAATAAAAAGAAATTAGTATATAAACACACAAAATGAATATTTTAGTTAATAGTGCCTATTTTATAATTATGATGTAAAAAAATAAAGAATAAAAAAGCATTTTATAATACATAGTACAAAACTGCTTGGCAATTAGGCGAGGCGAACCTCAAAAGGCACCTTGTTTCCTTGACAACTATGACTACCAGTATTTCCTAAGTTTTAAAATATGTGCAGTATATGAGGAAGAAAATGCCTACTTCCTCCTGCAATCTTCTATGTCCTCTTAAGCCACTAATTACTGTACTCTTGCATRTCAATAGGCCCAAGAGCCACTGGAAAGCCTGATGAAGAAGCCTGATACTGCATATGGGATTTCTCAGGCCTATATCATCGAATGTCTTAAAATATGGCGATGTGACATGAGGCATTCCACTATCTTGAGGCATGAGGCATAATTTAGAACCTAAGATGCATAAGCCTCCTAAACATGTTTTTTTTAATTAACAAATAATCATAAGAAGAGGGTTTTCCAATACAATGTACAAAATGTTAACATATGTCAGGAATGGGCACTAATGAATGTCTAGGGCCTCTAATTCTATAGAGACAAATGAACTATGGGAGGAGTTAAGTGCCATTAGGGGTCTATTGGGGGGACCTTGTTGTCTGGGAGGTGAATTTATTGCCATCAGGTTTTTGAGAGACAATCCAAGCCTAGGAATCATCACAAGTATGAAGTTTAATAGTCTTGTGGACTCCCTTGAACTAAAAGGGTCTCCCCTTACTACAAGCCTAATTCACTTGGTTAAATTTCCAATAAACCCCAATTTGTTCCAAGCTGGATAGATTCTTGTTTTCGATGGATTGGGAAGATACGTGGGGCAGCATAGTCTCTAGTGCCCTTCCTAGAGTAACCTTAGACCATTGTCCCATTAGCTTAGGTCAAGAAAGATCTTATGGGGGTCCCTCACTTTTAGGTTTGAAAATATGTGGCTGTAGGACCCTACTTTTGTTGAGAAGGTCAAATCTTGGTGGGAAGAATATAGAGTACATAGTAAGAGGAATGACGTGAGATTCACAAAAAAGTGAAGAAGCTAAAAGAGAATCAAAGCTTGGAGCAGAGAACATTTTGGTGGGTTAGAGGAAACAAAGGAGAGGATCTTAACTAAAATTGAGGTTTTGGATAAGAAAGAAGCCCAAAGAGAAATTTCAAGAGAGGTGGAGATTAAAGGTAGAGCTGGAAGAGATTTTTAAGGAAATCTTGGAAATGAAAATAAAGGTGTAAGTGGTTGGTAGAGGGAGATGGTAATACAAAATTTTCCACTCCTTGGCTAATGGAAAAAGCAGAAAAAAACCTTATAAACAGCTTAGAAGTGGATGGACAAGAGTTAAGAAGGGGAGAGGAAATCATGAATATCTTTGTAGACCACTTTAAGGGCATTTTGCTAATTTAGGAGGAAGAAGCCTAGATCTCCCATACCTAGAGTGGAACATAGTGGAAGGTGCTCAATTTGTAGTCATGGAGAACAACTTTAGTCTTGAGGAAAGTAAAGAGGCTATGTTTTCAATGGAGAGATTTAAGGCCCTTGGACCGGATGGTTTTTCAATTGCTTTTCATCAAGACTGTTGGGAGATCTTAAAAAGTGACTTATTAGAAATCTTTAATGTATTTCATCAAAGAGGAGAGCAAATTGGCTAGCTGATTATCTTGCCAAACAAGGGGCACTGAGACAACAATTGTTTTGGGCTGCGCTGTGAAGTGGGACAGAAATATATATTAGTTTGGGAACTTTATTCCCATCTACAAGCTGTAAAACTTTATTTTAAACCTATTTTAAATAAAACTCTCTTTTGCTGATAAAAAAATCATCAAAGAGGAGACATCTTCATAGGAGTGAATGCTATTTTTATAGCTTTGGTGCCAAGAAGGGAAGCCATGATCCCAAAGGATTTCAAACTCATTAGTTTAATGGAGAGTCTCTACAAAACAATAACAAAGGTCCTTTGGAAGATTTAAAAAGGTCTTACCCGTGGTGATTTTCCAATTTCAAGGGGYTTTTGTTGAGGAATGATATATTATTGATGAAATTTTGGTTGCAAATGAATGTGTAGCAAAGAAGATGGGAGTAAAAGGGCTGATATACAAATTGGACTTAGATAAGGCTTATGATTTAGTGAATTGGAGGTTCCTCCTAGAGATCCTAGAGAAGATAGGGGTTTGGGTGACCATTAGAAAATGTGGATCAAAGGATGTATATGTTCATTGCACTATTTGATTCTTATTAATGGAATTGCTAAAGGTTTTTTTTTTTTTTTTGGCTTAAAGAGGATTAAGGCAAGGAGATCCTCCTCCCCCATCTTGTTCACCCTAGTTGTAGAGGTTCCAAGCAATATGATTTGTTAAGGCTAATTTGGATAATTCGTCTCAAGGTTGAAGGTAGGGAGAAACCGTGTTTTAAAAGTGCAAGGCACCAAAAAAGCAAAAGGGACAAATTGCACTCGAAACGCAAGGCGAGGTGCATGCCTTTTTGAAGCAAGGCGCAAAAATGCAAAAAAAAAAAACGAAAATTAAAAAATATTAGACATAATATTAATTAAAAAATGTAAACTTAAATTTTAAAATAAATGTTTAAAAAATCTATGATAAAAAATTAAAATACATAAACATAACATGTAAAACATATTTAAATGAAAATCTAAAAATAAAATCAAACATATTCAAGCATGTAAAACCCTCAATCTTTTATTTTTCCCCAATTTCATTGCTTCACATTGCTAATGCGATGTAAATTAATTGATTTTATAAATTTCATTGCTTCACATCTCTATACAATAAATTAATTGATTTTATAATTTTAATTGCCTTTTGAGAAGATATTTTATTAGGATGAATGAATGAACAACATTAGCAAATAGGGGGTTGCCAAAGGAATGCTTGCCTCTATGCCTAGGTGCGCCTTTTAAATCACTGGGGAGAAATGAGGTGGTAGTAACCAACTAATTTACAGTTTGTAGATGCCGTAATTTTATTTTGTGAGGCAGTCAATCAAGATAAGTTGAGGAATTTGAAGGAACTCATGAACATCTTTGAGATTGTATCCAATCTAAAGGTGAACATGGGAAAAAGTTTTGTAGCAGGGACAAGGATCAACTTGGAAGAGGAAGAAGTTCAAGCAATGTTAGAGATTCTGGGTTGTGAGGTTAGAGATTGGCCTTTAGAATATCCAGCCTGCCTTTAAGAGGGAACCCAGAGATTGAAAGCTTTTGGAAACCTATAGTGGAGAGATTTGCCAAAAAAACTGGCTCTTTGGAAAAGGAATAATATCTCATTGGGAGAAAGGATAAGGCATTCTTGGTGGGTCACTTTGTCCAGACACCTACATATTTATAAGTAAGACAGACACCACATAATATATTTATATTTATAGTAATATTATTATTGTTATACTAGATTCATTTTATTATTTTCTTATTTCTTATCTGTTTGGGTTCAATTTACACACAAGTCAGTGACATAGTCTTGAACCCTTTAGGACTTTAAGACTTGAATTGGTATAACTTGGAGATTTTATCCAATTGACACACAAGAACAATCAATAGAACTTCTTCCTAGGACCAAAACAAGGGTTCAACCCTTATGGTTTGTGTTTTCTCTTTGTTTTCTTATATTTCTTCTCATTAATATGTTGATTTTCATGAGGATTGTGGTAATTATTAGTTAAAAATTGCTGGTTGTTACTATGAAACCTAAGGCATTTCCCTATAGCCTAGCTTTGCCTTGGCAGCTTCAAAACTATGCTTGGAATGCAATACAAGAGCTATACCCAAATTTCCTAATTTTTACTCATTTTGATGTGGGAGGTGGGAATAGAGTTCTATTTTGGGAATTATTGAAAAAAAAAGAGTTCTCTTTTGGGAGAACCTCTGGTTGGGTGAGTCTCCTCTTAAAGTGCAGCACTCTCTTCTTGACACTCTTTCTACAAACTTGAACCTATCACAACCTTTGGGAGCCTTTCCTAGGTGGATGTAAGCCATGGTTTGCAATCTCAGCATCGATGGGCATTTTCCATGAAGATAAGGAGGAATTTTGGAGATATTTCGCTAAGATATTTTGAAAAACTAGAAAATCAGGAAAGTTTTCCAGAAAAATGGACTTAGTTGATAAACATCCAAGTAATTGTTAGAAGAAGTATTATTGCACATTTAAGGCTCAAAAAACCAAAGCAAATAACTTTATAAATTAAGCAGGAGAATTAAGAGACTAATAGGCTTCTCTCTCTCTCTCTCTCTGATCATTATGGCTTCTTTCTCTGTCTCCCTCTGTCTTTTAGCCATCTATATTCTCTACATTAAATGCCATTTTGGATTTTGTCCTTTTTTGTTATTATATGTTTTGATTAAATTGAAAATACTCTTTTGTAGGTACACACATTTTTCTTTTTCTTTTGAATTATAATTACTTAATGAATCATATCAAAATAGTAAGCCAATTATCCAATAATTAATTCCCCCATACTTATAAAAAAAAAATCCCCCATGGGTTCTTTAGGAAAATATTTTTAAAAAGTTATGATGATTTTAATGAATATCAAAATGTTTTTAGTAATATTCTAAAATTTTAAACCTTAAATAAAGTCTATCAATGAAATCCAAAATATTGCTGACATATTGGCAAAATATCGAATATATTTGGAAAAAGGATTTCCAGAAAATTTCGTATTGCTACCTAGTAAAATGGGGATATTTCAGGGTAATTTTGCCAAATATCGCTGATATTGCAAACCATGGTTTAAGCTAGGATTTTGGATTTAGAAGAGGCCTAAGAGATAATAAATGTAATTCCCTTGTTCAGCTACTAGCTAAACTGGACTCGGTTTTCTTGGTTCAAAATATGGAGGACGCTAGAGTTTGGTCAGCCTCTCCCGATGGCCTTTTCAATTGTGTTTTTTTTTTTTTTCCTTTTTGTATGGTGCTTTTATTTGCATTGGCTGAGATGATCTGGAGCTACCAACGTGGGTTACCTTCTTGCAACTTAATTGTCAGGCTGAAGGTTAATGTTTTACTTCTAATGTTTATCACAGCTGATGTTTCATTGAGATATATTTAGTTAAATGTTGCTTTGCTAGTGTTTTACTGTTTTTGTGTAGAATTATTTAAACTGTAGAAATTTGTTATGTATTTCCGGTAAAACTAGTATTTATCTAATCTTTAGTTACTGTCTCTGAATCAAGAATAATTGCTACATGGTTGACTTGGCAGTGATCATATTGGTACATCTTGTTCTAACTTTTTTTGGATGTTCTGGTCACCAGTATGGAAAGGATTATGAATATGATGCACCAGTCAAACTTTTGGACAAGCACTTGCATGCGATGGCACAATCAGAGGATGAACAGCTTGTGGTGGTTTCTCAGGTTGGTCTGTGTGTGCTTGGTATTTTGTTGTGTTTTTTTGTAGTGTCTTTTTTGTTTAGCACCCTGTAGTGCTAGTTTTGGAAGGGCATTTGCTGATATTGGATTGCAACTTATGATTTCTTTGGCAAATCTGTCACAGGTGCTTGTGGCTGATATCAATATTGGTTATGAGGATATTGTGAATACTCAGGTCAGCATGGGCTTCTCTAAAAACGTAGCTGATTTTATATAGATTTCAATCTTCAATCCATTGGTTACCAAACAATATGCATTTTTTTTTTGTCTAGGTTCTTGCTTTTAATGGCCAACCTGTCAAGAATCTGAAGAGTTTGGCCAGCATGGTGGAGAACTGCAATGATGAATTTTTGAAGTTTGAACTGGAGTACCAACAGGTTGCCCCCACCTCTTCTCCCTCTTCTCTCTATCTATCTATATATGTATGCGGTGTGTGTGTGTGTGTGTTTTGTTGTATTGCAGCACATTTAGGAGTGCTTTGTCTGGGTGTGCAGCTAGTGGTTCTACATACAAAGACTGCCAAGGCGGCGACATTGGATATTCTTACAACGCACTGCGTACCTTCGGCTATTTCTGATGATCTCAAGTCGTGAGGTAAGAGCAAAGTGGAAGTACATGGAATCACTTTTCTGCTATTTCTGATGATCTCATTTTGGTTTTTTGGTCAACCCATGGTGAGTGTAATGCTCAACATTTTTAGTTGGTATAAGCCACAAATTGATCAAGGAAACAAAGAAAGGGGCTGGAGTTGAGAATGGTTCTTCCAATTTTTATAAGGTGCTGGGGTATAGAATTCATCTCCACAGTCAGGTACATCTCAATGGGGATTGGGATGTCTAGTTGTAAAGAGGGCAGAGAAACATGCTGGTATGGAATTGGTTATGCGTGAATTAAATATATCAATTTTGAGAATTTAAAGTTGTTACTTGATGTGTTGATAGAATTTGAAGGCTCTATATGAAAAGAATGTGAACTTCCATTGCCCCTTTTTTATCTTTCCCCTGGGTCAGATAACAGCATTGGGTCATATTGCCATTTGCACTAGTGTTCTAACAAGTAACCACCCAAGTTCCTTTTGGAAAAAATTGAAAATTGTATTCTGTACCAATTATTTAATTAGATTATGGTCTATGGAATTATAATTGATGGTCCACCAGTTCGCAAGTTAAAATTACTAGTAATATCACATAGAGGTGCAAGTTGAACCAGGTTAGGCAATGCTGAATTTAACCCTAAACCAACCAAGTTGTTGACCCCGCAACTCTAAGCTGAACCCAGCCTGAAAAGGTTGGCCCCATTTTCACTTTCTTTTTTGTTAAAATCTTCATAATTCTCAGATTTGAGTTCAAGTCTAATTCACGTTAGCGTCATTATGCAATGACATGGTTATGATGCTATAGGACTATAATACAGGTGTTATACTAGAATTGTTTTTGCCTTTAAACTTGAATTGTTTATATATATATAGAGAGAGAGAGAGAGAGATGCTTAATTGAATGTATGTATAATGCATATTTATATGTATGCTGGAGAGATTTTATATATCAAAAAAAGCATAGATATATATTTTGGGTTCAGGATGGTATAATATATGTTGGTTTGCCTAAGACATAAACCCTAAACCAACCCGAGGCTAAGTTGGTTCATATTTTCCAACTCGTCAGGCCAACCCTACCTGGTCCAAGTTGCACTTGCTCTTAATATCAAGAGCCATGGTCACCCAACTGCTGTATGCGGTTACTTTGAGAGAGGGACTACTAGTTTACAACCTTATGGTGCCAGTCAGTGGTTTCTATATAGCGTGAAAGAAATTTGGTCAGACCGGTGGCTGTGTTTAATAGATATGTACCCTTCCTTACCTGTGTAGTGCTTACTTGATGATAAAGGCATAAAGCATGGGTGAGAGGAAATAAGAGTTGATGCTCACTATTTCGAAAGTAGTTATTTTTGTGAGTAAATACTAAATAGGGAGATTATCAAGTATTGTTGACTTTTGAGAATTGACCTTGAGGAAATTTCGTTATACTTTGAAATCACACAATGATGGTAGTCGCAGCAAATGTGATTCTGTGACAGGGCTGACGAGGCCATGAGGCCACGTCTCATCGCATCTCTCCATTCAGAAACATATCTATGTGTTGGGTAGAAAGGTATCAGTGATTAGTCCTAGCGGACGACTAATTGCAGGAAAATAAACACCTGATAATACTTGGTCATCTAAAGAGAAGAGAAGACAAGCTATTCAAAGGTGACTGCCGACGGTGTGAATCAGTGCATGTTGATGGAACAGCTGTCCAAAGGCCAATAGGTGACTCACCATTGGCTGATAGCATTTGTTCAGAGCAAATCCCAGCTCTAATTAAATTATTTTAGAGTTTCGTAAGTCGTAACTGGACAAGGTCCCCGATGACCCGACTGACACTAATACATGTTCTTATGTTTCAGGGTTCGTCGCTGAGTTTCATCCCAGTAATATGACTTGCCATTTTAAGGGATGTTGTATTAAGTTATTTGCCCCTCCCTACATGGAATTAGTATTTGGGAAGTATTAGAATAGGCTTTAAACCTAAAACACGTAGATATGGTGAATTAGAAAACAATTAAGATCTGTCGTGGATATGTAGAGGCAAGTCTTTTTAGAACAAGATCGATCTAAAGCTTTTTCCATTTTATGGTTAGGGGTGCATGCAACCGAGGTGATTTGAATCAAATGGTTTACTTTATACTTACTACTTTATCTTATAGGCGAAGAGGTCATTATTATTTCTTTTTGTTTAAGATATAGTGGACGAGTCATTAGAATTTAGTTGTACCTTTTAACTTGAATTTTCATTCTTTCATTTTTGTGCCCCTGAATATTTTGTTATATGATTATTTCCCTTTTATTTTTACTTTCATTATTTTGGTGAAAGGAAGACAAAGGTGCATATTGTATGACCTGTATTGCTTTTTAGGGTCATTGATATTCTAAATTTCAAGGCTTTAAAAGAAAAAAAAAAAAACTCTAAATACTAAGAGTTCAGCGATTTCATATGTTTTAAATGTTAAAAAATAGGGTAAAAGACTTGAACCTCCCTCTCAGCTGTATCAGCCGTTATATCTAACGGATGAGTGAAAAAAGACAATACTGTCCTACCAAACTAAATGTTGATTTGATTGGTTAAGATAAAAGAAATCCTCAACGTTAGAAACACATGCTTTCTATGGGACACCAATACCAAATTTTCTGCAATTACCTCTAAGCCATTAGAAGAAAATAAGGAAAAAACATAAAATACTAGGTTCAATTTATATTTGATTTCTTCCTTGTTTTTAATATTTTACTGGGTTTAAAAGAATCTGTTGTTCGAAATTTGAAAAGGGTGGAGAGATCAAAGAGACCAACAATGCTTTCCCAAATGGCAAAACCCATACATTTGGTTGTGAAGAACTTCGTGTTGCCAAAGATTTTTCACGAATAACTTCATTTGATAATCGACTTAAGATCTAGAAGCTTAAAAATACAAGTGGAAACGAAGGTTGGTGATTGCCTCCCGGCCAATCTCTAAGTATATATTTGTCCATGTTAGTGAAGAGAACAAAGAAAGTAGCAAGAGAGAGGGAGAGAGAGAGAGAGAAAAGCAAATAGCAGAAACAAAGAATTCCGAAATTGGTTTTGGGTTGGTAGTGAAACTCAAACATCAAGGATGTTTAGGGGGTAGTATAAGGACATAGGCATCACATTGTATTCGACTAACCCCAATTCAATGTCGGTAGGGGCCACAGTTGTATAGTCTGTGTCAAAATGTTGGATGGTCATTGATCAGCCCAAGCATTTACAATTATTCTAATCTATAGAAATTTCTACGGCTAAGGTCGGATTGAAATGTTTGTCCGATGATGTCACCATACAAGTGAGGTCTTAGTATTTATTGTATAAAGAAAGGAAGTTTAAGTTTTTTACACTAAAAATATTATGTGAAATCTTTAATGTCAAATTACTAAACCACAAATAAAGAAAAGTTCCGATTGATTGAAATTCTTGATATTGCAAAAGTTAACTATTGAGAGAATGGTACTTTGAATGCAAATAAGGATGAAAGGTTGTCGTTATGCACTTTTTTTTTTGGTTAAATTTGGCCGCAGTCGATCTGCATTGTTGGAATTAGGTAACTCTGTTCTGGTTCACATTCTGGTAAAGCAACCGCCCATTTAGTGTGAATGTGAATTTAATATTTCCGTAAGAAAAGCACCAAAGGGGAAAAGAGTAAGCATCGGTTGCATTGAAAGACAAAGTTCTGTAAAAGAGAGGGGGATTAGGATTACGACTTTACGGGGGAGAGGGGAGAGCCGGAGAGGGGTGAGAGATCAAACCAAAAAAAGAGACATGCATGGGGCCCCTGACTGATTTGGCTATTTGTTGTTTGTAACAGGGCGCAGCAACCAACGCCGGATGTTGCATGGAAATGGAACATTGACCATCATTGGTTTAGAACGGTGGCCAGTGGCTGGCTGGCCTCTTCCCAATCCTCTCAATCCCCAATTCCCAAAAAACAAAAAGGAAAAGGGAAATTGCTTAAAGACTTTCCAACATTTTTCTTAAATTCACTATAACTTTTCACAATGTCGAGGGAAACTATGTTAGGGGTGAGAAAAAAATCGAAAATTCAAATCGACCGAAAATGAACCAAAAAATCAGTTAATCGAACCGGTCAGTTCAGTGTTTTTAAAATATTGAAGGTTTCGGTTTGATTTTGGTTAATCAATATAAAAAACCGGTAGTTAACCCAACAGGGTATGTATATTATATATTTTATATATTATAAATTATAAATTAATAAATATGCATTATATATAAATATATATAATATGATTTATTATTTATTATTTATTATTTAAAATATAATATTATATATTTATAATGTTTTATTATATATTTTTATAATATATATTATACAAATTAAAAAACCAAAAAAATCGACAAACCGAATCAACGGTTAACTGAGTGGCTTCAGTTTGGTTCTTGATGATGCGCAATCCGGTCGGTCCTACCTGCCGGTTACCTTGCCTCTGACAAAATTGGAGGTGCCTGAAACAAGGAAGAAAATGGAGATTTCCGGGGAGGAACCCGGTTGGAACACTTCGAAGCCCAAGTTAATACTCTTGAGAAGGCAAGAGAAATGAGGGACTTCAAGACCGAAAGCACAAGAATTACATACCTCCTTCTTTGGGGGAAGGGGGCCTTTTATAATCACCCTAGTACACTCACTCCCATGCCCCCTGCCAGATCGGGCATCATCACTTCTGCCAGATCGGGTGTCATCATCTCTGCCAGACGCCAGTTCAAGTGTCATAACCTCTGCCAGTTGCCAGTTCGGGTGTCATAACCTCTGCCAGTTAGTTTCCAGTTCGGGTGTCATAACCGCCACTGTCTTCCTTGTCAGGGCCGTCTCTGCCACGTCTGAGATGGCGGTGGCAGGTGGCCATTGGAGGGCGGCTGTCATGTGTCGGACCCCTAATCAGTCAGGCACGCTGCCTCCGTGTACGAGCTTCCTAGGCGTCAGGTACGGTTGTTCAGTCAGGCGACTTGGAGCCGAAGTGGTGTGCGAGGTGAAGTCTTGAATTCGGATAGAAGTGTGGCCCGAACTGCCCTGGGGTGAGTCAGCTCGGGTTTTTGCCCTTTGCGCTCATTGTAAGGCTCAGGACCTCCAAGGGAGAGCTCGGGTTCTTCCTTGGGGAGCTCGGGTCGTGGGTTCCTTTTTTTGGGGGAGCTCGGGACTCCTTTTCTCGGAGCTCGGGACTCCTTTTCTCGGAGCTCGGGTTGTGGGCCCGCTGCCGTGCCGAACTGGCACTTCTATCAGGTCACTCTCGGTTGCTTCCACGTGTCGCGTGGCCAAGGGGTCGGGCCAAATCTCCCTCCATCAGTTCTAGTTACTGGTTTTCCAAAAACCGGTGGTATCGGTTCGATTCAAAAAAAAGCCCCACCGTGGGCACCCCTAGTGAATAAATTGACGTTAAATAGACTAATGGCTGTTGGTAGATTACCATTTTATCCTTTCTTCTGTTATAAATAGAAAATAAAGTAAAGTTTTGATAAAAAACAACAAAAATATATCTCAAATATTTCAGTCTAAAATGTTTTCTGCACATTTTATATATTTAAGTAAAAAGGGAGCTTGAAATAAAAAAAAAACGAACATTTTGATTCAAAATGCTCTATATCTACTTACACAATACAACTATCACTCTATATCTACTTACAAAATGCTCAAGAAAAAATTGATGATCAAAAAGAGGATATGTGGATTTGTGGGACCCAACATCCAATTCAAACACTTCAAACATGATCAATGATCAGTTAAATTAAAGATGTTTTGATTTTTGAATAAAAAGTAGGTTAACATAAAAATATGTTTAATAAGACTGACATGCCGGCAATTTGATTATAAAAATTGCATTTGTGCTGATGTGAACAACTTCAGTCAATGAACAGTAGAGATGACAGTGAGTTTTAAAAAACAAAAAGTCACATGGACATTTTAAAAAATTATGGTGAATTTAAAAGAAAATCTGAAAAGTCATAGAGTTTCCCGGGCCCAGTGGAGAATAAAAAAAAAAAAAAAGAGAAAAACTCCGTATCTATGTTTTCCGTTACCGTAACATCTCAATAGTCACGTGCCACGTGTCGTTTTAACATCCCTTTCAGTTTCAGTTTCCAAACATCGGATCCTTATTCTCTCTCTCTCGTGCTTCTGATGAGCGATGAGTAGTCGTCAACCTTACGAGTTAACATCCACCCGAGGGGAATGACTCGAAATGTGCGTTGGAAGGGCTCCCACGCCACCCTGGCTCATATCTTTGGCCCCACTTTGACAGTGAGGTGAGACCAGTCATTCCTACTGCTCTACACTCTCTCTTTTGATTACTTTAACCTAGATTCCAATCTGACGACCGACCATTCTTTCTCTTCTTTCTTTCTTTCTTTTTTTTTTTATTATTGGATGGATCTCTCTATGCTTTCTTAAGCGCCGCAACCCAAGTGAGAATGTGAGATGTTTGTTATTCATTATATCTATACTCCAAAGACGTTGAGTTGAGGCTACTCTAGTACTTTTACCATCCTCCAACTAGCGAGATCAGATGATTCCGATCTAATGGTTTCTGTGTGGTGGTTCAGGTTCTACTACAGTCTAGAGTTCACTGAACTCCTGAACCCTTATTGTTGTTCCAGAAGACCAGAATCCAGATTGGGCCCAAGCGTAACGTTTATGTACACCCGTCTGTCTGTCTGACTCTCTCTCTCGGCCTCGGTTTAGAAAGTTGCAATTTTGCAAATATGAAATATGTCATGGCCCCCGATTGAAGTCATCGTTGCCCAGTAAAAAGATATTGCTTTTTTCTTATATATAGATTCAGATTTGCAGGTTCTTATCGGACGGACGGTGAAATGCCATAGCCAACGTCCAACGTCACCAAAAACCATCATGGACTCCCAAATTACCGAACCCGGAACAACCTTCTCTCCCGCCGTGAACGGCTTTTCTAATGGAAAAATCACCAACGCCGATTTCCTGGCTGAGGAAGCATGCATCCCAACCCACTTGCACAAGGCCGATACGGGTGTCCTCGCCTCTCCGGTGGGCAAGGCTTCTCACACGCTCCAAAACAACGGCGAGCGTGCTCCTATCCCATCGCTTGGCGTTGATTCTGTTGCCAGGGATAATGGGGTCAAGGCCGTTTCTTCCATGGATGCCGTTGTCAGGGTGTTTTGCGTTCACACGAAGCCCAATTTCTCGCTCCCCTGGCAGCGGAAACGGCAGTTCAGTTCCAGTAGTTCTGGGTTCGTTATTGACGGGCGGAGGGTGTTGACGAATGCGCATTCCGTAGACTACCATACTCAGGTTAAGCTCAAGAAGCGTGGCTCCGATACCAAGTACTTGGCCACTGTTCTGGCCATTGGCACGGAATGCGATATTGGTATACCGAGCATCTTCTTGTTTGATTTTTTTTTGATGATTAAGCAATTTCAGTATTTTTTTTTTTGGATTGGATCTGCACTGTCAGAAAGCCTTATATATCCACAGTGTTCAATCACTTAAGTTTTACCAAAATTCTGCTCGGTTCCCCAAGTTTTCTTTTTCTTTCCTTATCTCCTTCTATCTTATTTTGTTATTGGCTTATTGCCACGGCAGCGATGTTGACAGTTAAAGATGACGAGTTTTGGGAAGGCATTTCGCCGGTGAAGTTTGGATCTCTGCCTGCTCTCCAAGATGCAGTCACTGTAGTAGGATACCCGATTGGTGGGGACACAATATCAGTGACTAGTGGTATCGTATCGCGCATAGAGATGTTGTCTTATGTTCATGGAGCAGCTAAGCTTCTGGGTTTGCAGGTTATGGAATCGGGCTTCTACTATTGTTTAGATGTTTCATAGTATCTGCCATTTTTAATGATATGTCACCTGACATGTTTTGCTTTTGAATGGAATCTGCAGACCGATGCAGCTATAAACTCTGGGAATTCTGGTGGGCCTGCTTTCAATGATAAGGGGCAATGCGTGGGTATTGCATTTCAGTCCATTAAACATGAAATTGCGGACAATATAGGTTATGTCATACCAGTACCCGTTGTTATGCACTTCATTCAAGATTATGAGAGAAATGGAGAATATACAGGTATTCTCCGATACAACTCTAGAGTCTGGATACTATTTTTCTTATTACTAGTCTCCTTTGATATATTTACCGCACAAACTTATTACCTACCCCAAATGTGAGTTGAAATAACTATTGTTTTTGGTGGAGTGTCGACACCGTCGTTCTTTTCTACCATCTGAAGTATTGGGATCATTTGCTACATCCCAGGGTTCCCAACTCTTGGAGTTGATTTACAGAAGATGGAAAATCCTGACTTGCGCTTGGCAATGGGAATGACACCTGACCAGAAGGGTGTTCGTGTTAGGAGAATTGAGCCTACTTCTCCATTATCTCAGGTTCTGAAGCCATCTGATGTAATACTCAGCTTTGATGGAACTGATATTACTAATGATGAGACAGGTAGGATATATATTCTTTGCGGTTTATCTCATTCTTTAGGTTCCTATGTTTTGCTTCTTGTTCAATCGAGGTTCTTGTTTGTATTGGATCTTTTGTTTCTTCTACAACATTTATCTCCTTGGGTGGTTCTGATGTCTATCCAATTAATATGAACCGCTTCCCAAGTAGTGATTCAGTGGCCATAGGGACAGTAGGACCACGGATTTCCAGACTGCTATATGCTGGCCTTATGGTGCTCATTCACCTACCGAGTGACAAGAATGTCATGTTTGGGAGTTATGCTCTTCTAATTCATTATATCATAATGGAGAATCGTAATTTTCTCTCTCATTACTTGAAAAATATTATATTATTATCAAATTTAATTATCTGTGACGACATTCTTTTTGTAAGGAGGATAGATAAAATCAAGCTACTTATTTTAAATTGTCCCCCTCATTTAGAAGCATTTCGATAAATAACATAGGATCGATTAGGGAATTGGAAGCTTTTGACCAAATCAGAGATGATGGAGAGAATTTGCGGACTGAAGTCCTGTACCTTTGTTATCTCAAGCGCTTCAAACATTGATACCGTGTCATGTAAGCAGGCAACTTATTCTCTTTCTTGGTGACCTTTCAGTCTCATTCAGGAATGGAGAGCACATTGGATTTAGTTACCTGGTATCTCAAAAATTCATGGGAGAGAATGCTGTGATTAAAGTTCTTCGCAATTCAGAGACTTTTGAATTCAACATAATGCTTGCTAGTCACAAACGCCTCATTCCAGCACACATCAAGGGCAGACCTCCACCATATTACATTATTGCTGGATTTGTCTTTACAACTGTATCCGTTCTGTATCTCCGTTCTGAGGTGTGTGTTACCTTCATGGTTGCCATTGTTTGTGGTTGTTTTAGTTCTATCTCATGGTGGGATGCATAAATACATTTTGTAAACTGCTGTATTCGTAACCATCTATTTCTTACTTCCAAAAAGTTTTCATCCTTCTGTGGTCAAACTATTTCAATCATCAGAATTTTAATTTGATTATGTGTAGTAGGAATTACATTCATTTCTTATCATCTTTCTGTGGAAGTAATTGAGTTCCTATATGTGGATTAAAATCAAATATTATGGATTATTTGACAGTGAAATTCCAAAATGATTGTTAGACATTTTTCTTTGTACTGTAGAAATAACGATTCTTCAGATGATAATGTTGTTTATGCTTTTCCATATATACATTTAGATATTAAACTAGGCAATTGCTGAACAAAAATGTAGTTTGACGGATATTGAAATCTAGTTTAACATGCTTCACCATGAGTTTTACCAAGTATCATGTTAAAATTTGAAGCTGTTTCACAATTGATAATTTTTTCTGGATTTCCTAAGATTCTGAAGTACATGTATATAAACCAGAAAATATCTTACTACATATACTAATAGGTCACTTATTACTGTATTATTTGTTTGTTTTAAACATTACACCCAATAAGCACTTGGACATGCCTAAGGTAGAAACCCAAATGCACATACGAGGGGGAAAGACCATCAACTCAATGGTCAAGGCCCCCAAAATGAAAGAGCCAGTTCAAACTAAAAAGAAATAATACAGTGAACACTTAACCCAAACAGGGCCTAACTTTGAAGGAGTACCCCAATACAGCCAACAACAGAACTCACTAGATTCATCATGGAATTCTACAGGCTTTATGGTTCTTACACAAGGAACTTAAGGAATCCTTTAGTTTATTTTTATCTAAAGGAAGTTTTGTTTTGATTGATTCTTAGTTTTAACTATAAAAGTCTCCTATATGTTTCTTCCATGTCTATTTTAGAAAGCTATGTTTCTAGATTTAATAAATGAAAAGAAATCAGTTTTCACATTTCCTCCATAAGTATTGTAGAGTTTATTCTTGAAGTCCTTGTTAGAAATTCAAACTCATCCTAAGAATTAGTTTCTCCATTTTCTATTTTTTATGGGGTTGTAAGATAAATAGAAGAGGGCTATCTGCCTTCACTATTTGTAGGTATATAAACTGAAATCTGTAATTGAGACCTGGTCTCCAATGATTATTTTTTAGGTTTGGAGATTTTATTTGTGAGGTTTCATCCATATGATCTTTGGGGGTGTAATCCCGTGAAGACCTTTGTTGAGACTTTTTTGTTTGTTTGTTTAAGATAAGATTCATTATCAAGTAGTGATTTTGGTCCTTCAACTCGTTCACTTTGTCTTCTGATGTTATTCCAACCTTCTTTGATTTTGGTTTTTGAATTTAATACATCTCAATTTGTTTCTTAATTTGAATTCCTACGTTTTCATACACTTGACTTTATTTCCAGYTATTGAATTCTGAATTCCATCTTAATTTCTATTTTTTCAACCTTCAGCTTTCTCTCCAGCCAGTTTTGTATCCATCCTTTAAACCCCATTAAAAGAGACCTACCAATACTTCTTTTGTTGGTATCAAGAATTTATTTCTTGATTATGCTTTCTTGAGTCTTTGTTTTAACTATTGATATCCCCCAATTCAGATCTGTCTTTTGTTTAACCATCATTTGCTTAAGAAAACATAAAAAAAAAATTATCTCATTTTTCCCAGATTTACAGGGATTTCTATGATAACCCTGGATTAAGCAGAGACACCCACAAAAAATATAAGGTAAAAATGAATGAATAAAAAAACGTTTAAAAAAGAATTTTTATGTATGGATTTTTTTATTTATTTTGCATTAATATGTTAAATAGGAAGCCTTCCAAGGAAGTACTAAAAATGTTACATGGTTCATAAGGATAAACCCATAAAAATCCAAATGCCTACATATGTATATTATCCATCAAAGGAAGCCTTGACCACTAAACTTTGTTTGCCCATAAGGCTATAAGCATAGCAAGTCACCCAATTCCTTCTAAAAAGCAGTAGAAAATGAGATCAAACCTTGTGAATAAAGTTGCAATACAATAACAGGCAGGCAAGTGTTTCCTCTTTTGAGTTGTAAAGGCTAAAGCAATTAACCATGCCCCTACCATTTATACAAAAAACTAATGACTCCCCTACCTCTTGAAATTAAGTGATGATTTGATTTATAAGAATCTTGTCTAGTGTTGCCATCCACTTGAAGAAAAAGTCCTTGGATTGGACAGGGAAAGAGTGGTCCATGTGACCAAGTAAGGAATCATAAGAGAACATGAGCATAAATGTACTTTCTGAATTTTCTCTTACCTACATGTGTACAGATGTTCTAAATGTACTTCCTTAAACCAAACACAGCCTAAGTGTTCGAGTGGAGAGAACATAGTCTGCTTCCCAACTGTTAGGTGGTGTTGTAACAGAGGAGTCCATATTACCTGCCTGTCCACAATCTCAAGACAATTGCTAATTGTGTCATTTAGTACAGTTTCCAAAGTGTAAAGAATTATATAATATGTATTGAGAGTTGTTTCCCTTTCCAAAAGTGTATGTGGTTTCATTGCTCAGCTTATAAGCGGCCCAACTTTGCAGCAGGTTCGAACTGACTATTACTTACATGCATGTATTAAGGGAAGTCAACTTTGTAGTGGACTGGTTATCCCACCATGGTCATGCTACCCAAATTGCCTCTTCTGGGTTTAAGTGTATCTCCCTGGAGTATATTTGTTTTAGTGATGCTTAGGGTAGGGCTACCCCTCGTGGTTTGTAATTTGTTCCCTTCCTATCAAAATTGAAAAAAAAAAGCTTTTAAGTGATGTCTGTACCATAACCAGTAGCCTTATGGCCAGCTTGTAAGTGATGTGTTTTAGTACCATCTTGTCTTTATGTGTGTACTATAACCGAAACTTGTGATTAACTTTCATGTCTATCCCAGCTAAAGGGCAATTTAGTTCATTGGTTACATGTTTCTAAAGTAGCAGTTTTACTCAAGCTAGAAAAAACAAATCCATAGAGATGAAACAGGCAGGGTCTCAGTAACCCTGAGTAATAAGAGTCCTCTGGAGCAGAAGGCTATGTGAATATTTTTTCTAGTGGTTTTGTTCAAGTCATTAAGGTCTAAGAACTTCAAGCAAATGTATTTCCAGAATTGATGATTCCTAGTTTTGATTCAATCTTAAAATATTTACTTTGAATGGAAAATATTGGCTTCACGCTTAGATTTTCCTAGGTTCTGTGCTATTATCTTTGCTAACTCTTTGTTATGATCTGATTTTCAATCAGTATGGAAAGGATTATGAATGTGATGCACCAGTCAAACTGTTGGACAAACACTTACATGCAATGGCACAGTCAGAAGACGAGGAGCTTGTGGTTGTTTCTCAGGTCTCTCTCTCTCTCTCACACACACACACACTTTTTTTTTTGCATATCTTTATCATTTAATTGAAGATTGTCTTTGCCAACTTTGCAACAGGTGCTTGTGGCTGATATAAATATTGGCTATGAGAACATAGTCAATACTCAGGTCAGAGTGGGCTCTTTAAACAATAGATTCTTTTCTTTTCTTTTTTTCTAATTTTTTAGCTTACATTTTTTACCTTTCAGCTAGTGATGGTCTTCTCTGGTGTATATTTTGTGTAGGTCCTTGCTTGCAATGGCAATCCTGTCAAGAATCTGAAGAGCTTGGCCAGCATGGTGGAGAATTGTGATGATCAATTTTTGAAGTTTGAACTGGAGTACCAACAGGTCCTACCTCCGCCCTATCTATATAGTTTGCACGCGCACACACACACACACCCACAAAGTCTGATTGCAGTATTCTTATGATCCTTTTATCTGAGTGCAGCTAGTGGTCCTACAAACAAAGACAGCCAAGGCAGCAACACTAGATATTCTCACAACGCACTGCATACCTTCAGCAATGTCTGATGATCTCAAGACATGAGATGGAAGCACATTGGAGGTTACTCTCCTGGCTTCCAACTATTGAAGTTTCTCTTCTTGCAGAACCCGACCTACTGAATTGGTAGAATCTATAGATCAATTAAAACAGGAAAAAAAAAGAAAATAGAAAGAAAGATAAAGAAATTAGAGTTGGATTGGGATATCTATCTCCTAAATGTTATATGATTTATTAACATGCTGAGGGATCAGAATAACAATTTGAAGCATGACTGTAGGAGCTGGGATGGGTTTTTACACAGTAAGGTGCTAAGCACAGGGGATGTGAAGTGCTTTATGACATTATTTCTGGGAAGTTCCGTTGATTTGATGGAAAAGAGAAGATCTGCAGTAGAAAGTAACCAACATGTATGACCCTTTTCTCTCCAAGGCCAGATGTACTCAATGTAACGGTAGTGGGAAATATCACCCAAAGGGAATGGGATTTCAATTTGCTRAAATCTCACTTCAAGCTGAGACTTCTATTTTTGTTTGTTTAAACACCCTGACAATCTAAAACGAACTCGAGATCTGCGTCACTGTTAATTGTATCACATCCTGAAATGTAACTAATGGGCCAAGCCAATTTACGAGACAAAACTTCAATATTGGCTGGATGAGAGCAAAAGGCAGGTTTGTTTTTATCTAATGCAAAAGTACAGATAGGTACTTTTGCGACAATTGTGACAATCAAATACCCTGAACTTTAAAAAAACAATACTCAAGTCCAGCACCTCATCCGTCAAAAAAAAATCCAGCACCTCTAACCAATGTTATGGTTTCCAAACTACCCATTTCATATATATATATATATACTTATTTATTTATTTAATGTAGGCCTGATATTGAATTTGTTGAACTGGTATAAGAGAATGGTAAATTTCTGATGCAAGATCGGTTTAATAAAACTCAAAACAGCCCCTCATGAAACAATCTTATACAATATGTAGAGAGTATTTTAGATATTTTGAAATGTTCCATCATGTGCTGTAGATAATTGATGGAAAGCGAATGAATGGATTTGAGCATTCATTTTTAGAATTTCAGGTACTTGAAAATTGAGGCCCTTAAATATAAGGGAAAATTTCTTATGTACTTTGGCTCGAGTAATAATTTGGTCTTCCAACTTTAAAATGTGACATCAGTTATGTATATCACGTCATCTTAAAATATGACATCAGTTAAAATGTGACAATTTGGTCTCCAAACATTTGAAACACACAATGTAGTACCGACTATTAATGTTATGTATATCATGACTTTTGAAAATATCAAAGTTATCTTTAAAAATAAAATACACGGTTCATCTTCTTCTTCGTTAAGAAGATGAAACAGAGTTCAAACTCTATGTCACAAACACCAAAACTTTTTTTGCATAGAATGGAAAGGTCTCATAAATCATTGAAAGGAGATCGACAAGAAATAATTGAGAAGATAGAGGAGGATGGAGAGAATACGAAACCAGCTGTTTCGATCAAAGAGGTGAAAAGTCAAGCAATAACAAAGAATGGAAAGAAGAGGAAAAAGCACTCAGACAAAAGAGAACTCTGATGCAGTGAAAGAGGAGAATGGTGTTGGAGGATCTCTCATACGGGGAAAAAAATAAAGCAAAAGAGAAAGGAGATGGGTGAAATTACCTTGCAACCATGATTGCGGCAACTCGGCGAGGCTGAGTGACAGCAATAATTCCAGATTTGGTGTACCCATTTCTGTGCAATATTTGCGAGAGTTGCGTGCTCTTCTCTGAACCAGTCTCTTCGATTATGACAGCGACAAGGTTTTGCTTCACCGTTTGAACCATCTTCTCTTCGAACTGAAGAATCGGAAGAACCATTGTATATCCTAAGGAGAGATGGAACTTGTAGCGTAGCCAAATAACCACTTAAAATTCAAAAAAAAATCTGAAGCTCAGCTGCGGACTGTTGTGGAACCAACTGCCTGAACCTTGCAATAGTTGCAGCATCGATGTCGTGCTTGCAGACCAACAGCATCGAGAGCCAACCAATGTGAAGATCACCGTTGTTGGCAGTTGGCACTGCATCGCACACACCGGTCTTCTCTCTCACTTTTAACGTCCAAAAGACCTTCTCTATTTGATTTCCATTTTTTGTCCCTCGTGGGCTTCGAGAATTGCCAAATTAGCAGCCATGAATCCAAGCTTAAAACAGGGGACGCCTCGTATAGCATCTGCGTTGTCATCATGTGCTCATCACTGAACAACTCCGGGGAGGATTCTTTGTTGGGTTCATGCGGGACCAAAGAGCAGATACCATATACGCCGTCAATCTCTGCTCTGGATCGCCTTGCACGTTGGAGACCTGATTCAGGTGGGACAGAGTTGTCGTAGTAGCGTTTGTGTTTCCTTCGGCGAATCTGAAGACGAGGACGACAAAGAGGTTGAAGGTGAGAGAGGCTTCTAATGTTTCGCTCCACTCAGTGCTGGTAACCACCAAAGCCGTGTCTCCTTCTCTAGTTCTTGAAGCAGACTTATCATGTGAGTCTGGCTCTGATTCAAGAGGCACAACTCAGTTTGTAACAGAATTGGAGAAAGAAATACCAGACAAAGAAGAGTTGCTACAAGAAGGGTTGTTGTTCTGAGTATGCTTGATAGGGTTAAATGGTTGAGGTAGAAGAGGGGGGAAGATGGAGGAGTCCTAAACTTTTCGTCAAAGTCCAAAATTAGATGTGAGTGAGGATTTCGTCTCGATCAAGTCTCTCATGACGTTCTCCGAACAATTTTCCGGCAATATTTCATTTTTCGGTGTTGCAAATAATTGGTTAATAAAGAAAATTAGATGACATTTGAAGGGTATCTACGTCTTTTCAAATGTCACTTAAATGGCTGGCGTTTTAAAAGTTGGAACACTGCATTATCACATTTTAAAATTCGGGATCAAGTTGTCCTTGAACCAAAGTCCAGGCAGGATACAGATCAAGAATTTTCCGGACTTGATATGCTTAGGATCCTTTTGCTCCAGCCTCCAGGCTCGAGAATCAAGATGATCTCAGTCCCGGCCAACAAATGAAGATCATGGAGCCTTCCCTGTCATTTGCCCCCACCAAATTGTCTTCTATTGCCCCTATTTTTTTTCCCTTTCCCTATCCTGTCTGAGATAAACTGGACCAATGAAAGTGGTTAAAACCGCGTAAAGACCAAAGCCTTTGATTCTTACATCAAAGTCTGTGATTGTGAAGTTAACTGTCGTATACCGTCGTCACCTTATCTCAGTCTGATCGTCTCTTTGGAATGCAGTTCCTAGTCCTACTGTATAAGCCATGGCTTTCTATACCCACCTCCTCAGTGTATCCCTCTTCTTTGCCTCGTTTATTCATCCAAAGCACTACTCACAACCACTTTCTATGCTAATACTTGTCCTAATTTACAAAGCATTTTTTAAAATTCATTTGCCCCTCGTTGATAGTATGGGATGCTAATGTGAGATATCTTAACGTGAGGCAAATGGATTGTAACAGCATTGTGCGTGGTATCATATCCATGTTTTCTTCAAAGGGCCTCAGTGCTCGAGAGATGACAGTGCTGTTAGGAGCCCACCTGACCTTCAGACCATGAACCAATTTGACAACAATTACTACCAGATCCTTGTTGCTCGGCCTGGACTCCTCCATTCGGATCAAGAGCTCTTCAATAATGGGTCTCAACGATGGTCTTTTCACGAGGGATTTTACTGCGGCCATGGTAAAATTGGGTGGTAACATTAGCCACTATCACCGGCAGCCAGCAGGAGGAGAGTAGAAGAAATTGCAGGAGGCTTAACTACGTAACTTCCTCACTATCACTAGGCCATTGATCGAATATGACACTATGGAGAGGAAATTAAATGTACCAGCTGCGTAGTAGACAATAAGTGTAGAAATGACACAAGTGTTGGGGCATCATTATATATTTCTGTCAAAATATGCCTTATATGGCTAGACTTAGTTTTCTAATAAAAAAGAACACTGAAATGGTTGTGGGTGAATTAAAGTTTTTTTTTTTTTTTTGTGATAATAAGTAGCTTCAGATAATCTAGGTTTAAATCTGAAAAGTTCTGGCCTGTGGGCCTTTCCCCCTTCCCAAATCTAGATTGGGATTTGAGTGGACTCATAGATATGGGAACAATATCCGGTCCATTTAATATAGGCAGCAGCTTAACCACCCATTTTAAGTTTTTAACAGGTTGATTCAGATCCGATGTATGTCCAATTGACCATAATGACCTATTTCAGGGTCCAGTTCAGCGAATTTGTCATTTTTAGTGTATTGTATTTATCAAAATAAATACAGTCAAACCTTATTCCAAAGAGTATAAATAGTTACTTGATTCCATGTAATCTGATTCGTAATCAGTTAATGGATGGGTATGGATAAGCAGGCATATGGAAGACCCCATTGTGCCTCGACCATGTAATCAACCATGATGAAAAACAGCCATGTCATTTACAGTAGACAACCTAGTTAATTGTAATGTAGCATTCCACTTTACAAGCTCATATTAGACCTCTACATTTCGTCAATCTCATATATAGGTATTTCATCTATTCTATTACTTTAAAGTAATAGAGGGGCACTTTGGTTTGAAGGCTCCAAGCTACTAAATTCACCATCGACCAATTTATCTTCTTGGGCTTTCCCCCACATCACAGCATAGAACCCAAGAGCAATTATTACTGATCCGATCACACTGCACACAAAAATCAAACCTTGTTCATTATTACTATTTCCTTTTGAGAAGAAATCAGGAGAACAGAACCTTTTTAACCTTTCAATCTTTCATCTTAATTGCATGCATATGGTGTTACATTTGTTGAGGATGAGAAACAGAAACCTTTTCCTTTCTTTAAAGCAGTGTTTTCATAAAAAAAAAAAAAAAAAAACATTAGCATATTCACAGTTAACAGATATCAGTGGTAATGCTGAGCTTAACACGTTAAATTCCAACTAGCAGCAGGCTCAACTGACAAAATAAAATGGAGGAATTTACCTTCCTATGTGGAGAATATCCCCAAGGAATATGATACCCAAAACAACTGCAATAACTATACCCAAGGGCCTGAACATGGCAACAAAGAAGGGCCCTTTCTTGCGCAAGCACCATGTCTGAACGCCAACGCTGAATCCAAACCCAAAAACTGCCTGCATGAAGTCAGATTGGTTTACATCACTTTCCAGTTCTCCAAGGAGTGAGCATTAACAAAATCCATATATCAACCAGCAAATTTTACAATGAATATGAGATTCAACATTCTTACAATAAGCGTTTCTTGCCAATTCATCATTGTCAAATCCCTTGGGTTCAAATAGAACCAATGTAAGATCTTTCTCCTAATAACTAGTGTGGTTTATTTACTTGGCCAAATTCAGATCACCTCTACCTTGAGCCCTAATTAGGAGGTTGCCCACAGATAGAATGGACCTAATTCATGAAATGGTAAGCCATCTTTGCCATCAGAGTTTAGGTGCACTGCATTTGATGGATCCTAAATGCATCAGGTAATTATTGTGATATACTTGGAAACTCAGACATAGCAGGGATATCATATTATATCCTTACCGAATATACAATGGTAAACAACTCCAAATCAAGCCTTAATCTCCATTTGCTTGGTTCTCTTTCCACAAGTAGACAGACGATTGCAGATTGAATGGTTGCAAAGAAGGAATAGAAAAAAATCAGGGTAAATTCTTGAGGATATTCCTTAACAATTGATGCCTGAAAATATAAACACAGATTAGTTTGTTGATTTCAAATGCACGATGAACACAAGAAAGATTTGCAATAGTCTTGATGGACTGAACCTGGAAAATATACCAGAGTGCGCTCAACAAGCAATCAGCTGCAACAAAAAGGCCTCCAATGACCCAGTTTGAATTTGGCAAGAAAAGATGAAGATGAGGTGAATCAGAAGGTGACGGGGTCGTCAAGATTGAGGGGCCCTTGTAGAGAGTCACTACAAACGCCCCTGCAATTGATACCAAAGTACCTAATGATTTGGCCTGACTGTTTGAGCTTCTCAAATCCAACTTTTCCATCCTAAAGTCAACCATTGAATTTAGCATTTATGATGATCTCAGAGTCACCCCTTATTACAAAAAACAATGCAACAAGATAGTCGAATTTTACTAGAAGGTATGAGCAATCAAAGCAATGAGGCATTTAAAGCTCAGCCTCATTGGGTCGACTTGTACAGAAAGCTGCTAATCTCTTTTCTAGGAAAAAGGTGTGCCAGGAGTTTCCAACTCCCAACTCTTTCATTTGCCTAATGATAGATATAACCATGTAAAGTAAAACTTTAAGAACAGAGAAAAACCTGAAAATGATGGCAAGGATGAAGGTAAAAGCTGGTATAAGGTTGCTCATTGCCGAGGCAAGAGTAGGAGAACTGTAATTGATACCAGTATATGCAAAGACCTGCACAAGATAACTGCAAGACAAAACCAAGACCACAAAATCTCATTTCTGTATCGATTTGATTTTCATTTTCTTGGCAACGAATTCAAATTTATTTTAAAAGAAAACAAACCCATCATGCCATCGGTGTAATTCAAATATGTATATGTGTACCCAATTAGGCCGAGTAGAAACAATCTACATAGGAGAGAGACAGTGATTGGGGGCAGCGTTGCTCTGCAGAGGACGATAAAAATAGAAAGAGAAGCGTTAAGCAGCGTTTGCTATTGTTGGTTTTAAAAGAGACACCAAATAACAGAAGTACAGAACTAATGAAAAAGGAAAACAAGGAATACGAGGAAAGAGACCTGCGGCAGAAGAAGGCAGAAGGGAGGAGGAGGAGAGTGGCGAGAGCATAAGAGTACATGACGAAGATGAAATTACTCATCCCTCTTAACATGGACGCTTTGCTTAGTGTGATTAAGCCTACGCTTGAGCATTCCACCATCATCATTCCTGCAAACGGGATTGCATCCCACAGGCGTCTTGACCTCGACCGCATGTTTCCCTTCGTCTGTTTCATTTACAAAATGGAAGAATGTTGGCTGTGTTTGATTGTGGGAGTGGTGTTGATAGAAGTTTTGGGAGACGAAGAATGAGAAAGATATGACCTGGGTCTATGAATTTCAATACTATTACGATAGCCTACCCAAAAGTAAAAAATCACAATATTATCATTTTCAATTCCACCAAGAGAAAGAAAAACGTATCTCCATCAACGACAGAGCTGAGATCACTGTCTTTTGGGGTTCCTTTTTCTTAGTGTGTGAAAACTTGTAAGAGCCAGTTGTTTCCTCCACTCCAATCATGGCTGCCGACGGCTAGCTCCGTCTGAGAAAGCTTCGGCCTTAGCCATTGGCTGAAAGAAGAGAATTTTCATTAATTATAGTTGGGGTGACGCTGTTATGACCCACTTATATAATAAAAATATAGCCACTCTTTTCTTCCCTCCTACATTCATTGCACCTGGACAGAATTATCTTTACATGACTGACTGCCTGAGTGCCAATAACAGAATTATCTTCCCAGTTTGTGTCTGTCCTATTAATTTTCGGCGATAAAATAGAGAGAAATGCCAAAGATATACCAATTCAGATAATCAGATCTCCTACCCAACCGACATGACACTACAGTCGTACGTTAGATTGATTGGAACGATGATCATTGTCGTCCCATCTTGGTAGTGGTGACCGAGCGACTGGCTTCAATATTAAGTTGTGTTCACACACCCAAAACAGACTTGAGAAGTTGAGAGTTCGAGTATCCCTACTCACAACAGTGACAACACCAATACAATGTCTAATAATTTGATACTTTATTTTTGATAATAAAATCTTAATAGAAATGATAGTATAATAGTATATTATCTATATGTTGATAAAGCATATGTTACTAACCAAAATTATCTTATATATTATCTATGAATTTCACCTCATATGTTGGAGGGGCAATTTATAAATAGGGATGTTTTAATTCTAGTCAATAATAAGATTCAATATTGAAGCAAAAAGAAAAAAAAAAGAATAGAATTCAATGAATATTAGTGGGAGTTAATACTTTAAATATAAGACTTAATGAAAAGGATTTGAATAAGGAGAAAAGTGATTATTCAAATTATAGTTTGTTGAGAACAACCAAATAAAAAATTGATGTATTTTAGTCAAACAAAAGTTTTACACTCTCATTCACACTTTTAATAATAGTATAGATTTGTTAACCCTATATATTTGAATAAATCCAATATATGAGGTTCAATACATGGTTTTCAAACCACAATTGGCTCAGACGATTGGCCCATTCAGCCCAAAAACCATCTAGGCAACCAGTTCCGTTTTACCCCAAACTTGGTCCCTGGCCAAAAACCGTTGAATTGGTTAATGGCCTGTTGACCCGTTCAACAGTTTTGGTCATTTTTTATTTTAATTATTTTTTGTTTAATTTTTTATTAGAACAAGTTATTCGTTCGAACCATCAACCCAAAAAACCGGTGGCCAAAACGGTTCTGATTCCGGGCCATTTTTTAAAACATTGGTTCAATATAATGCCTAGACACTTTCTTTCATGCTAAGGCTGTCATTTGTTTGTGGGAAGGGAAGAGATAAAAAAGAATATTTTTAAGTTTTCTGTTGTTTTCGTGTTTGGTTTGTAAGATGGGATAGGAAATAATTGGGTTTGTAGTTATCAATTGTTGGGTAGTGACTTCAAAGTGAAAGGAGGATAAGGCTTGTCTAACACAAAAAGAAAAACACACTCTTTTATGTTGAGGCTGACATCTCCATTATTTTCTCTTGTACAACCAAACAATAAAACATAAAATCTTTATATCCAGTTTTTCTTTTTCATAAAAATCTTCTTGGAAACCAAACGCTACTTTAGGAATCATTTTATTTCTTAGAAATAGAAGATTGGCAACAATTAAACAAGCAAGGTTCTGGGTTTAAATGAATGAGATTCATAGAAATTAGATTGATGTAATTTTTATTACTAATGGAAGTTATTAATACAGCCCATCAATTGATGTTTTGTCTGGGAGGCTTAAGCTTTGGTTGAGTTGCTTTAACTGAGCTACTTAAAAGAAGCAGAAGCTTCAATCGAGAGCCATTCAAAAGTAGTCAATTCAACAATGCTTATAGGCTATCCAAATAGACCTCACCTCATAAAGCCAACAACATAAAAGCCCTCCCAAAGATGCAGTAAGAGGCCTAAAAGTTGATGGAATTCTAGCTTTCTCCAGCATTTCTAATGTCAGAACAGTGGTTCATGAATTTCTTTAAGTCAAACAGATCCCCATGAACTTGCTAACTAAGATTTAGGCCCAATAGAACCTTTTATCTTATTTAACCACTTTGGCTTATATGTTTGTCTGAGTTGATGATGCACGATCCAGTAGTTCCCTGCTTGAGGACAGCTCAAATGCCGAACTAGGTAGGTCGCTTGGTCGAGCTACAAAGAGAGAGAAGATCAAAGCACCCGGGTTACTTTTATCCGATGTGGCACTCCGATGCTTAAGTTAGTGAACTGGAGTTTTTGGGAACTTAGAAAGCAAGAGAACAAGAAAGTTGTGAATGCTAAATCATGCCTACCTTCTGAGGCTGAAGGTGAGGCCCTTATATAAGCAAACTGTCATGGGCCTCACGAAACGTGTCTGGAATCTCTGGCTCGTTTGGTTCGGAGGTGGTTTCATGCTTGGAGGCGAACTCCGTGTAAGCAGATAATAGTCATCCAATTCCGTTCGAAGTGGGCGAGGTGATAACCAGTTCCTCCAATGTGGTGTCGTGATCTTGGAGAATTTGAAGGCGATAGTCTACCTAAGGGGGATCAGGCAGGTCACCAATCGGAATCAGGTCAGATCAGTGGAAGCTTATCGCCTCTTACGCCGATCTGAGGTTACACCTAGCTGGTCATAGTCCGGCCTACCAGGGTGGTGTTGAGGTCTCCGAAGTAGTTGCAAAGTGTCCAAAGTGCTCCTGGGGTCTACTTACGTGGTCCCAAGATGTCACTCTACTATTCTGTGATGCCATGTATCGAAATATCATTGAAGGACCAAATTACCCCTCATCATGAGTGTTTCCTTATACCGATTCATGAGATTGTCCCATATTTAAAGGGTAATCCACGTCTGCTTAAAGGGAAACTTTAAATTGGAATGAAGTAGTCAATTGGCTTCAGGAAAAAAGAAAAAGGAAACTTTACCACAAGAAACAATCCTCTATCTAGGTTAGAGCAAAAATCAAGGTTAAATTGTAGTTCAATTTTGAGGGAGAGTATGAGAAAGGCACTTTTGAGAAACCGAGCTATTTATGAATATAGCTAAAAAAATTAAAGTATGCATAGCCACAGAAATTCAAATAAATTAATAAAACCAAATCCAAGTCTCAAATGATTATAAATAAGATGCATACACATAAGAAATACATACATACATACATACATACATACATACATACATACATATATATATATATATATATATATATATATATATATATAATATTTGACTAGTTTATATAAAGTGTGAATGAGAAATACTGAATACACATAAGCCACATTAAATCTTTCTATTCCTCTTTTTAAAAAAGTAAATAAGTAAATAATAGAGATGCATGTTTAAAGATAGGCTACAAAACACTCAATGATAAGAAATGATCTAAACCATTACCAGACTTGTATAAGAGCTCGAGCATAATTTAATATTAATCAGTGTGGAAGTTTTTTAAATTACCCTTTATTCCTTTGTTTGAGAAAGGGTATAAAAGTCATTTTATTATAGCTTTAGTGTCGACTTTAATGGCTATTAAAATGCCCATATTTGTGTATTTAATCTATTTCTAATTGTAACAGTTGAAAATGTAACTTCAATTATTACTTTCCACCTCATTTAATCTCCTTTAATTAAGTCTTATACTTAAAGGTATTAAATCCCATTTTCTCTTATTAAATTCTATATTTTGAAGTTATTTTTCACTAATAAATGCTACTAATTATATCTATGACAATATTTTTAATAGTATAAATTCATATATTTTAAAATTGACTCAAAAACAAAACCATTCTCTATCCAAGTAATGGTTAAGCAATTCAACTATCTAAATCAAATAGATCAATCTACAAAATCATAGTTAGGTAATAAAAATTTTAAAATAGAAATAAAAATAAGAATTAAAAAAATGTAGAAAAATTAGACACATTTATGTAATCGAATTTTTTTTTATTGACAATGAAAATGAAATACATAATTTAGAAATAGCCAAAAATGAAATATAAAAATTAATATTAAATAGTTCAACTTTTGGGTTAAATGTATTAAACTTTAATGTCATAAATAGATAATAAAAATTAATAAAATATAAAATTACAAAAACAAAAAATACATACATTTTGCAAAAAAAAATATTCACACATATATAATATCATATATTCGTCATATTAAACAAAATGTGTGTAAAATATCAAAATTAGTTTACACACAAAAACACACAAAAAAAAATTATAATAAAAATTGAACACATCTATAATTCTATATTTACACTACTATTAAAAATATGAATAAGATTGTTAAATGTTCTTTTGACTAAAATACTCATTTTTGAATTTAATTCCTATTTAATTGTGATGTTTAAATTATAAATTGAACTACTACTTTTTACCACATTCAATTCACTCTATTTAAATCTTAGATCTTTTTTGATAAATGAACAAAAATAAGATACACAAAAAAATAAGACATTACAAAATGAAGAATCTAGCCTAGTAGGGATGCAAATCCATATTCAAATTCATGTTTATGAGATGCGATCGAATCTGTTGTTAATACTATTGGATCATATTCAAATATACCATTATTCGAATCCGATCCAATCCGTTTACATCCCTACCAAGCAGGTAGGCTTATCAATAATACTTGAAACTTCACAACTAAATCCGATTATCACATATTTGGATGAGATGTTTATGTAATCAGATTTAGATTTTGCAATCTACATCTGATTAATAATAAAAATATAAAATATAAAAACAAAAAAAATACATAAAAATTTATAAAAAAAATTGGATATAATATCATTGTTATCATTATCATATCTAGAATTGCCACATACAAAATACATACATGCTTACTAGTAGTACATATTGATATAGATATACCAAAAAAGATTCCCTAGACTCTATGAGGAAAGGTGGGGATGGGTTTCTCTTATTTTTCTCTGTCCATTGAGAATTTGAGATGGAAGAAGAAAAAAGAGAACATGGGATCTCTTTGGTGGTGATGTTGGCTGAGAAGCTTAAAAGCGGTAATTAGGCGATGCCTAGAATTGATTATTGATATATGCCTTTGAGCCACGAAATAAAAATGAGATTGGGCTTGATGAATACTCTAAAGGCGGTCTATCATCCAAATTTCAAAGAAAAAGAAAATGAATCCATTAAATGATAGAACATTTTCCTCATCCAAATTTCAAAGAAAAAGAAAATGAATCCATTAAATGAAAGAACATTTTCCTTAAAATCTTGATCACCCATCATGCAAATCCATTCTATTGATCCGCTCATCAGATGCTGAACTACGGAATCTTACTAGTCGGTTAGGGCCTTAAAGATAAAATTCACATAGGAAAAGGTCCACCGATTTCTCAACCAGTCCCGACCTAATAGTGTGTAGGAATGGCAATGGGGCAGGGATTATAATCCCCGTCCCTGTCCCTGTCCCTGATAGTATACCCTCCMCCCCCCCCTCTTGTTGGTATTTATTTGGAGATAGAACACATCTAATATGATATCCGCCCTAGGTCCTACTTTAATGGCATTTTTCACGCAAGAGGTTCATTGAAATTGATAAGGCACCAATTCACGGCAAGGTTCAAAATATCGATACACCCGATACGTCGGTAGAGGCGTATTGGGCTATATTTGTTTTTTTTTACTTTTTTCTTAATTTTTTTTTTCAAAACCGATTAAGGGGGCCAGTTTAAGGCTCCTCCACCCCCTGAACTGGTCAGAACCCCAATACACCCTCTGTAGGGGCGTATCTGAGAACTCCCAAATCAAAGCCAATACATGTTGATACTTTGAACCTTGATTCACAGTAATTCACTAGAAAATTACAAAAACAAAGCTAGAATATAATAAAGAACCTACCATTGCAATTATCAAACTCAGGGAGAACCAGGTTGATTCAAAAATCAAAATCAAGGCAAGCCTAATTCCCCCACTTTTTTACTAGGAGGGCATACGAGGAATAGGCCAAAAGTGACTTTTTGAAAAGGATGTTCCCCCTTCATCAAAATTAGGATATGCCCTGATTAGCCCTCAAAAAGGAAAATAGAAGTGACACCATCTCCAAGTTCCTGTCTCGATGTAAAATTGTATTTCCTTCGTTACTTCATCCTAGCTTACTCCATGTCAAAACTTGGGCAAAGCATAGGCAACTGCACCGGAAATATCTTGCACCCTAATTGAATAAATACATGTCGGAGTTACTGTACATAAATATAACCCGAAAGAGATGGTGTACGAGTGTATCTGCACGACCTGCATAGACTACGCAGGAGTGGACCATCTTGAAGAAAATATACATTTTTTAGGTCCTCCGCCTTTTTCTCAAGAAAGGCATAGCACTTAAACCACTGACACTGATGGATGTCGGACGAGAATCATCTTTTTGGTCTTGCACATCCGGTTGATGGCCCTCCAGAGACACACCTAAGATCCCCGAGTCATCATCCATCCTGGTATTCAAACAGTCTAAACTTTGAGTAATATGAACAGCATCCATCTTCCTCTCTCCACTAAGATGTCCTTCTAAGCTTCTTGTGGGGCTAGAAACCGAGTCAATTGGTGTATCTGGATCACATTCATCAATACAAAATCCACCTCCCATTTTGAGGTAGTCTCCGCAGGTTCCATCTATAGGTGAAAAATCCCCATCAGGGTTAGAAGATCTATTCAGGCTTGAACCAAATTGAGTTGACCTGTTTTCTGTTCCAGCTTCATCCATAAGAAACCCTTCAGTTTTGTCCATGCAAAACCCACCTCCCATTTCAAGGTAGTCCCTACAGGAACCATCTTTGAGTGAAGGATTGCTCTGATCACATTGATTCCTTTCCTCGACCCCATGAGCAATATCTCCAAACATGTTTTCTTCGGCAGATGTTTCTTGCTCTACTGTCTCTTCAGTTGTAAATTCTTCTCTTGTTCTTTCTGATGACTCACCAAGGCCATCAATCTCTAAATCTTTAACTGCATATTCTACCTGCTTCTTCAGTCGAGTTGACTGCAGAATTTATAAACAAGAATAGGAAAATACAGATATAAATAAAGTGATTAGGAAGGAAGAAACTTGTATAGTAAAGAACCACTAAGAACTTTTATACCCTAAATGGGAATATGGGATTTCTATTTTATGAGACCTATGCCAACATTGGTAAGGATCATTACCCAATGCTGGTCCAGGCTATTCAGATTCTTGGGGAGGTGGACTGAATACAGACCTAACCTCCAGAATTTTCTTGCACAATGCAGTCACTCTTGAATAAGGGTGCAACTTGGCCGGGCTCAGGTTGGGGTTTGTTAAAATTTGAATGGGCCTAGACTGAAGATCCAGGCCCGCTGCAGTGTAAATTCTTCAAATCAGGTACCCGAGTTGCACCCCTACTCTTACTCATGTTTGTCAGCTTGAGATTTACCAAAGGTCCAGAAAAGGCCTACTAAGAAAGTTTGAACTATCTAACCAGGTTGATGTTTAGTGTGTATTCAAGCCTATGCCATTTGCAGGGACCCTGAGGGTCAAGGTAAACTAAGACCTGACTGGAAATGAATGAGCACAAAATGTAGAACTTACCCTGCGTACTGCAGGCAACCCCTCTGTCTTCTCAACTTGCATCTCCTGTTCATCCCAGCTATTGTCGCTATCAGTAGAGCTGGTTTCAATTGCATCATGGTTAGGTGCTTGTTTTCCCCTTCCTCTTCCTGCTCCCTTGCCTTTCTGTCTTCCTCCTGTATCTCTCTTCAATCTTTTCTTGGTAGATTTCTTGCTGTCCATTTGGAAAGGTGGTGCAGAATTTGTTACTTCAGATGGGGCAGATTTACTCTCCGTTCCTCTTCTCCGTGGCCACTTGGATGGTAATTCTGCTGAAGAATCGCCATTTCCATTTAAAGAGATATTGGATCTCTTTTCCTCAGGGAGGGGGTTCACCCTACTTCTGTTTTTAACTTTTGAAGCTTCACACAGAAGATCATCCAACTCTGAGGTTCGGTTTCCTGTTATTCCCTTCACAGCTCTTTTAATTCTTTGACTGCGAATTTTAGCAAATCTCTCATTGAATGTATAGAATGCTTCCAACCGCAGTTGAGTCTACACCAGGCATGTACATGAAAAAATAAAAGTTACAGAGAGAAAATAGCCATGGGTTCTTCGAGATGTATATCTTATAAAAAAACAGAATGAACGGGTCCAAAATAAACAAGTGCTGATTTATGGTGACAGATGAAATAATGGGGGAGCTTATATTATGAGTTTGAGTTTTCACCAGAAAACATTTTATAGAGATTCTTTGCCTTTGTATATGGCAACAACCAAACAATTTATTAAAAGAATAAGAGGCTTTACTTTTAAGGATTCAATCCAGTTCAATGTCAAGCTCAATTAGGTCATTAAATACTTAAACTTATTGGAGAGCTCATTAAGTGCATAATTCACTGACTCAACTACCTTTTCCACAGCTTTAGCAAGACACTGGACCAAAAGAAGAAACATGGCTCACAAGGAAAATAATATGGTTCTCCCAATTTCTACAGATGATCATTATTTTGGAGGAATTTTGAATGGGAGGGTTTTAATTGTAGTTGGTGGAGGATAACAAGAATAACATGAAGTGATATATCAAATCATCCAATACACTTTGCCTCACCTCATGCTTATTATATTCCTTTAAAACAGGAAGTAGCAATTCATCAGCTTTCTGGTTACTCCACCCAAACTTTTCCCAGCAGAGTCTGCACACATACACGTCTTGTAAAATCAAGAAACTGTGAATCTTCTTTGAATAAATACAAAAAAAGACTATTCTTTAATTCACATAAAGAGCACATGCATATGAATCCAAACAGCCTGAGGAAATTACTAAACAGAATGACTATGAACCATTAGTCAGTTAGTCTTGAATATAATTGGACACCAAGTAACTGGAGATAACAATTATTGTCAGATACAGACCAGGTCAGATGATTGAACCATCCAGCCTGCAACCTAGTATATTCTATGGGTTTTAGAAAGCCCGGTTTCTAAATTTCTAAAAAATCACCTAAACCGTTATTGACCTAGACAGTTTTCTGAAAATTAGATGATTTTTATTGAACTATCCAATTTTTAAAGAACTGCTCAAATCATCACTTGAGAATTAGCCACAAAAATGACGTTGTGAAGTTTTGAACCTGAGTTGTCTTTTTGTAAGACACAAACCACTAGTCTATAAGCCATTTGTTTATAAAACCATTTGTTTAACTCGTACATATTGTTTATTGTGATAGGCAAGTACCACTCAGGTTAAAACTTAAAAGGAAAGGTTTATAAAACAGTTTAAGACCAGCAATACTGTATTGAACAGAGTACTGGGCAGTCAAGAAACATGTCCAAAAAAATGAGCGTGACATAAATGCATAAGGATAGGGCCAGAAATGAAGTCATTCAAAAGAAACTAGGGAGCAGCTCCAATAGATGATAAAATGAGAGCAAGTAGACTAAGATGGTTTGCTCATGTGCACAGAAGACCATCTGCAACACCCATAAGAAGCGATTTACTGCAAGTTGAAAGGCCTAGGGCCAGACCAGAAAGGACATGAATTGACGTAGTAAGAAATGATTTAAGCACTCATAATTTAACAATGGATATGGCACTAAACAGGATTCATGTAGTCAAACCCATAAAGTTGGGGTAAGGTTTAGATGATGGTGATGATTTTTTATTGTAAAAAATACAGCTGAGGTGACTCGAACACAGCCCATGCACATGAAATAACAGTCCATTCACTTTTAGGGGTAAACGGGAAAAAAAGAAAGAAATAAACACCCATTAAGATGGACCAATACCTATCTAAAAGGTTTAATGGCTTCTCATTTTCTCTCTCTTATTCAATCCCCTTTTATGTATATAATATATCAACCAATTGAAACCACAGGCTTCATCCATCATAGTAAATTTAGCATGACCAAGGAGGAAAAAAGTGATGACCTTGACTATGCAATCTTCTAATCTTCTTCCCCTGGGTCAATTACCATATCTTTTATACATCTTGAGATTATTAGTGTAACCTATTGAGGCATACTAACTATCAAAACAGAAAGAACAGTATGCAGATAAATGTCAAGCAAACATAATATTCTAAAATTAAGAAAAGATGTCCTGTAAGTCAAAACTTYATGAATTTATCATGAAATTAGTAGTTAGAATTAAAATCATGACTCACTTGCGAAGGGCAAATAAATCTGGCTTCCCCCATGAGAAAGGTTCTGTAGATTTGTCCACTTGTGGAGAGGCATATGCAGAAACAACCATCTCACTAGGAAAAGATGAAGGGATATGCCAGTTCTTGCTCACATTTCTCTGCATGCAAAATGGTAATTATATTACGAGACTAAATTTAACAAGTATTTAGAAAAAAAGGAACGGTAGGAAACAAAGCACTTACATGTTTGTTCATAAAGATCTGTTTTATGTTTTGGATGTTATCCATGGATTGCCTATCATTTTGACCTTGGGGGACACTCCCATCAAATGCAGGGCCCTCTTGCACTCTGCCTTCCAAGTAATTTACATCATTCTTATTTACTTTTAACAATTTCTTCCTTGAACTGGATTCAGAGTGAGCATCAAACTTTTCTAGAATAGATGGATCGGGAGATTCAAGCCATTCCTTGAATTTCTGGAGGCCATCTTCCTCAGGAAATGCATGTACAACTTCAATAGCATTAACAATTCCAATCCCACTATACCACAAATTAAAAAATATATATATTAAAGTATCACTACTAACATCTGTTTTCTATATACGAGTATAACAACTTACAGCACATTAAGCCTACAATAGGAAAGAAAAGAAGGAAAGAAAGAAATTTCTCCTGTTGCCCAGAGAGCTTAACAAAAACAATTCCTTGAACTGACCTGATTCCTTCAGTATAATCACTTCCAAGAAGTAAGGCCATATGTATCAATTTTTCTCTGGTCAACCCAAGCTCACTTTCAATATCCTGACAGGTAAAAGAAATTAGCTTGTGAAAAAGCAATTAGTCACATGTTCAAAGAAACAGGAAAAAAAAAACGAAGAAGAAACTTCCAGTTTGTAAATATGGCACTGGGTTTTGTTTTCAGAAGCATTTTTCCATTTTCGCTTCCAAAAGTCTTATATGATTGGCATATAAATAAAAGACCAACAGAGTGCATTTGAAGAAATGCACTAGCTCAAATAGCTTGTTTTCCTTTTTCTCCCCCTAATAAACAAGGGCATCCCCATTGTTCAAAACATTTCTATAATATGTGAGCACCAGTTACCAGAAGCCAAAAACTGAAAAACAATCGCAGAGACCTGGGATACAGATATCAGCACACGTAAAGAGGTTCAATCAAACAAATACTGACACAAGAAGGAAATATTACAACTTTACAAGACATRCTATAAATCTCATGATATAACCTTAAATAAGGCATAAAAACAAATAAAGAATTGCAGTGCCAAATTCAAACCTTCATAAAATATGTTTCGACATATTTACGATCATCAAATATATTCTTGTAAACACTTCGTGCACCAAACAGAAAAACATCAGAGTCATCAGTTACAACACCATCAACAAGGTTAGCTAGTTCCATATATGCACATTGGGCTTCTGCTTCCATGGGTGCAATAATATATGGTAAGCCAAACATTTGCAGCAACTCCTGAACATTAACAAAAGGAAAAACAGATACATCAGATTAAATGAACATTTACAACTCCTGAACATTAACAAAAGGAAAAACAGATACATCAGGTTAAATGAACATTTACAACTCAACATTAACAGAAGGAAAAACAGATACATCGGGTTAAATGAACATTTAAATGTTCCCAATAATTGAGAAAGAAAGAGAAACAAACAAATTACGCTTAAATGAAATATCAACATTGTTGAGATTGTTTGGGTGCAAGGGTGTTTTTGTCAATTTTGTTCTTTTGTATTTGGGTGCCCATATGAGGGCTTACTTGTAATTTCTCTCAATAATATAAAACCTCAAATTTGAGAGAGTGAACAGTAACTCTTTCTTCTCCAGTAACTCCCTTTCTCTCATTTCTTCTTCTTCTTGTTTTCTTTCTCAATAATACCCTAGATATTGCAACTTGGTATCAGAGCAACTAGAAGGTCTTCGGAGAGTCTTCCTCTATTGGATTTTGCTTTAAGGGTGAGATGCTGATGTCAGACTACCACTGGATAATATCAGCAGTTCGTACAAAACATATCAAAGTGGATAGATGTTTTATCAAAGAAAGGATAGCTAGTGGAGAGATTTGCCTACCCTTTGCAAGGTTGGAAGACCAACTCGCTGATTGTCTCACTAAAGGCCTTCATCATCCAAAGTTTTCCAAGAACCTAGACAAGTTGGGCACGATTGACATATATGCTCAGCTTGAGGGGGAGTGTTGAGATTGTTTGGGTGCAAGGGTATTTTTGTCAATTTTGTTCTTTTGTATTTGGGCATCGATATGAGGGCTTATTTGTAGTTTCTCCCAATAGTATAAAATCTCAAATTTGAGAGAGAGAACAATAACTCTCTCTTCTCCATTCATAACTCCATTTCTCTCTTCTCTTCTCTTCTTGTTTTCTTTCTCAATAAAACCCTAGATATTGCAACTAACATCAACTCCTAGGCTAGATTACAATATGTCAATGCCAATATTAAAAGAACAGGACTAGGGCAGTCTAGAACCTCTAGACAACCCTGTCAACACAAATTTCGCACTAAATTTGGAGCACAAAAAATAATGAAGACAAATTAAAAGACTTTTTTTTTTTGAGAAATGTAAATGGAGTACAAACGTTTTTTTTTAAGAATACCCCCTGATTCTCATTTCACGGACACAACTAAACTTGCACTTGTAGCTTGTCACATACACGACTCATAAAGCTTGACAACTTTATTTATTTTTTTTTTTTTTGAGAAAATTTAACCAGGATTCATTAAAGGAAGAAGAGGTTCATGAGAAGATGCACAAAGCAGAGGAAGAACCCCTACAAATTACAAAGGAGGAAGCTTATCGCTATACAAATGCTCCAAATACACCACATTTGGCTAAGCCATCTACTGTATCATTGTGTTCCCTAGGAATCCAAGCTTGACGACTTTAATTGTAGGAGGTCCCTTGTAATGATTCGATGAAGATCTTGATTACAACAATTTGATAGAAGATTTCTTGTTTGTAGTAATTTGATGGGAGCTTTCTTTGATTACAGCAACTCAAAGGACCAAATTCTTCGACTCACGTGACACGAGACTGTAGCAGTTTTGAAGCTTCAACGATTGAGAAGCCAAATTTCTAGTTCTTCCTTCTTGCAACAAGAAAAGTTGAAACAAAACTTGGAGAGAGCCGAAGAGGAGAGAATGATTTCAGTTGAACATCTCTCAACATGCACGTGGCTAACAGCATTTAATTTGAAACTTCACCATCAGCAAATGAGCCAGACTTCTTCCAAATTCTTCTGTCTTCTCCCTTCCTTCTCTTATTATTTTTTTTCATCTTCTCTTTTCTGTAGACGAACTAGCTCTCTTCATCCTCCCAGTCACCTCTCAGAGAGAGAGTCTCCTTGCTCTCCTCTCCATTTTATAGGGATGGCTATGTTTGAATTCAAACCCGCCCTAAAGATTTGAATTCAAATGAGAGGAACCATATTCGGCCAGCTATGGTTTCCTTCTTCATTTGACAATAATTTTGATTCTATTATAGGTAATGACTGCCATTTAAATGAAGGGCCCCACAAGATTAATTTGAAAGACATCCAACTTAAWGGAATTCTCTTATTTAAAATTTGTATTATTTTGGAAAATTGGCTGGTTTGAGATCTCCAATTAACAGATCGATGATCTTTGTATAAATAAGGTTGATTGGAAGAGGTTTGTAAAGGTGCCACTTGGCAAGAAATTAGAGCCCACAGAAGGAAGGAAATCCATTAATTGAATTAAGCTAATCCTCCTTGAATCAGCCAACCAAATTTTCCTTTTAACCAAATTGTTAATTAGGCATGGTTGCCAATCAATTGGGCCCCACTACATTGATTAGAGAAAACCTCTCTAATTGATTTGAGAGAAAAAAATCTTTATGATTGCCGTGAATGGTGAGCCTGTCTCAACGTGGCAAATGCTCATTGCCTCTACTCAGTTTGGCTTGTACTGGGCCCTACCCAACATACTCTTGGGTTTGGATTTAATGGTACCTCCCCACAAACACATTAGGGAGCCCATTTTCTAGTTRAATTTCACATTGGGTCTCATCCAACATCTTTATTGGGCCCAATTTTTTGTTATTCTTTTCTTAGTGGACCCAATAGCTCCTTTTTATTCAATCTCATATTGGGCCCTATTTATTTCAGTTATTAGGCCCAAAATTTATATATCAACAAATGCACCCCAAGTTGGTGGTTGTTATTGTAATTGGCAATGCAACCACCGGCTTGCAAAGTTTACACTCTTGCAAGCAAGAGCAAGAATTTCTTGGATTGTTCGCAGCCTAAACTAGTGTGGACCATGAGTTTTTTATTATTTTTTAACTACTCATAGTTTATAGTAGAGAATTTTTTGTGCCATCAATAGTTCATACTCTTGCAGGCCAYGAGTAGGATTTTTTTTTTGCCATTCACAATTTATACTTGTACGGGTCAAGAGTAGAACAAATAATTTGTTTATTTTGTAACTGCACCTTTTAAGGTTGCCTACGTACCCCTTAGAGGGATCAAGTCATGGTAAAGTTCCTAAAGTAGTTTGTATTTGTGCTTTGGGGCTTTGTAGACAGTTTAGGCTCTTATCTAGGAGCGCTTAGTGGATAGTTTAGGCTCGTRCCCGGGAGAGCATTTTGAGTTGTTTATTAGGTTGAACAGTTCATACTCGTACTCAGGAGTTCTACAAACAATTTATGCTTGTATCTAGGAGCAAATTTTGAGTGGTTTTAAAATGACAAGTAGTTTATACTCGTACTCTTAGAGTTTTGCAGATAGTTTGAGCTCGTATCCGAGAGCACATTTGAGTTACTTTGGAAGTTGAATAGCTTATACTCATACTCAGGAGTCTTGTAGACAGTGTATGCTCATATCTGGGAGCAAATTTTGAGTGGTTTTAAAATGACGAGTACTTTATACTCATACTCTTGGAGTTTTGCAGACAGTTTATGATCGTATCCAGGAGCACATTTGAGTTACTTTTGAAGTTGAATAGTTTATATTCATACTCTTGGAGTTTTGTAGATAGTTTATGATCATATCCGGGAGCACATTTGAGTTACTTTGGAAGTTGAATAGTTTATACTCATACTCAGGAGTCTTACAAACAGTTTATGCTCATATCCGAGAGCATAGATAGTTTAAGCTCATACACAGGAGCGAATTTTGATTTTTCTTTTTTTCTTCTAAAAGATAATTTAGGCTCATATCTGGGAGCATAGATAGTTTAGGCTCATATCCAGAAGCGAATCATGATTTTTCTTTTTTTTCTAAAAGATAGTTTAGGCTAGTGTCTGGGAACATAGATATCCGGGAGCACATTTGAGTTACTTTGGAAGTTGAATAGTTTATACTCATACTCAGGAGTCTTACAGACAGTTTATGCTCATATCCGAGAGCACAGATAGTTTAAGCTCATACCCAGGAGCAAATTTTGATTTTTCTTTTTTTCTTCTAAAAGATAATTTAGGCTCGTATCTGGGAGCATAGATAGTTTAGGCTTATATCCAAGAGTGAATCATGATTTTTCTTTTTTTCCTAAAAGATAGTTTAGACTAGTGTCTGGGAACATAGATAGTTTAGGGTCATATCTAGGAGTGAATCTTGATTTTTCTTTTTCTTTTTTTTCTTAAAGATAGTTTAGGCTCATATCTAGGAGCATAGATAGTTTATGCTCATATCTAGGAGTGAATTTTGATTTTCTTTTTTTTTTCTAAAAGATAGTTTAGGCTCGTATCTAGGAGCATAGATAGTTTAGTCTCATATCCAAGAACGCATTTTGAGTTTTCTTTTTTTTTTAAATATAGTTCAGGCTCATATCTAGGAGCATAGATAGTTTAGGCTCATATCTAGGAGCGAATTTTGAGTAATTTGACTCACTTTCTTTTCACGTAACATGTGATTGTATGCACAGCTACATGTCCTCTAGAAAAGAATTCCTTTTGTATGTACTCTTGTAGAGTAATTGGGAGTTGGGGGACTTGTTTTAAAATTTCATCAGTTACCACTCGTAGTGGTTGGGTAACAATGTTCTTGCCTTGTCTTTTCTTGCTTTTGGGAGGCTTTTGTAATCGAACCCTCCTTTTATTCTTCTTAAATTGTTCATGAGTGAAGGGGATTGGCGTGTCACATGACGCTTCCATCGTGTAATGATGGTCCAATCATCTTTTGAGAGTGATGTGGTGGACTAGGGTGAAAGAATTTCCTTTGGACTTGAAGCCTGTGCTTGTGCTCTATTGAGCAAGAGCAAGAGAAGAGAGGAGAGGAGAAGAGAGAAGAGAGGAGAGTCGAGTGGACTGAAAGCCCTCYAGAATACAGGGGRCGAGTGAAAGARTTAWTATTTATACTGGCCYAGTCRTACAATATAAACAAGAGAGAAATTACAAYAGTACCCTTGTGGTACTAAACCTGAGTACACAAACAACTGTCAACACTCCCCCTCAAGTTGGAGCATAGATATCAATCATGCCCAAC